ATGTTCTGTTGCATAATCTTAAGTGATACTATTAATGTATAAAAAAATGTTTGTATTGAATTTAAAGCTTTACATCTCTGAGCCAGTCAAAAACAAGGAATTTACTAGCGCATATAATTAACATAAATACTTGACTTGAAAATTAGTTTTAAAAATTATAAGCTAAATTTTTAAACTAAAATTAGTTATTTCAAAAATAGTTAAACTTACATAATGATATATTTTCATTCAATGACTATGATTGTTTTTTAATTTATTACTGTTCACATTTCATATTGTCTTAAATTATATTGTAAACTAATATAAATGTTTTTTCCATATTCTTACATACCGAATAAATTAATTTTAAGTATATTTCTGTAATACTTTTTGAGATTGCGAGAACCTTTTCCTATTCCATAAAACATCTGGCAAAACAAGCTGTAAGACTCGGGAAAATCCAATTCATTAGGCAACCGCAAGGAATCACTAGGCCTGAAAATTAAAAATCTAACGGCATGTACTGCCCTCGCCTTTATCATTAAGTTGTCATGCGACCCCCAGACGCGTCGAAGGCAACGAAATCGTGAGTTCTTACCGTGAAGATCAAGAGAAAACTAAGCTTCGTAATTGAAGATAAAGACATGAGAGGCGCTGCTCTCGCTCTATGAGAGATAATTTCAAGATTTAATCCCTCTCGGTAAAGTCCTTATTCAAATAGGAAGTGCAAAGTCCATCAAGCGTAGTCCGAGGACAAACTTTCGTTAAAGTCCTCAAGGAAAAGGGACGTATAAAATTGCCTTATCAGAGTCCGAAAACAAGTACCAGTTGAAGTCCTCATTAAAGAAGGAAGCGTAAAGTCACTCAATTGAATCCAAGATTAGCTTTCGTTTGTAGTATCATTTTCTTTAGTCATCATAGCCATAATCTAAGATTGAGAAGTCTAAAAAGCCAGGTCATTGAGCATACATGAAGGATAGAGGCCATCTCAAGGTACACGTAAAATTATCTTAATTAATTCTACTGTTTGTACTAAAGGAGAAGCACATGTCCCATAGCACGTGTCGACAAGTCTTTGCGCCATTTGTACCCACCATGACGACCTAATCTTTCTTAGCTCGAGTCCTACGTTCGCGAAGCCAATCTTCGCGCCATTCAGCGCTAATAGTAGATACAACACGTGGCCTTCTCGATGAAGTGGTAAGAGCTTTAAAACCTCTTACTTCCCAGGGAATAGCAACAGTGAACTACGCCAAGAAAAGCAAAATATTACATCCAATTACTTCTGGTTAAAGTGCGCTTGCTACGGTCAGAAGTCTAATCTGTTAGAATCAACCTTCGTGCCATTTACGCCCACCTTGCCGACCCTAACCTTAACAAAGCAGGTACCCATACGTACGGAGTCGACAGCCAATCTTCGTGCCATTCAGCGCTCAGCAGAAGCAACACGCGGCTCTACTCGAAGTAGTAAGATTTTATACTAATCAGTTCCCAGGGAATAGTATCAGTATAGACGCCAAGAGAAGCAAAATCCTACATTAAAATACGCTACATCAAAGCGTGATTTGCCTAAACCAAGAGGTCAATAATTGATAACAGTAATAAAAATCATTCCTGTATTTAGAAATTAACGGAATAAACAGCAAAACATACAGATGTATTGATATTGAATTAATTACACTATCCCTTCCACTTGCCCGCACATCGCTACCACACAACATCTCGTGGATCTGAGTTGTCTGCATAAACAATTTTGGTTCTTTGAATCGGTCTTGGTAAAACAAGCCGGATCATCGGATACGTTTTGTGCAAATACATACATAAAATACATTACAGGTATAACATCAATAAAAAATAATTTAAGAAATAAGATTATTATAGACTTTACAAACATAAATTGACATGGTTGTAAAACATGTAAATATAACAATAAATATAAAAATGATTACTTACACAAAAAAAATTAATTCATTTCTATTTCCTTATTGACACATACAAATGATTTATTTATGAAATAAATATAGTATATATATATAATTTTATTTATATTTTGAATGTTTAAAAATTTTAATTTAAACATATTTAAACGGTTTATTTGATAAATATTTTTAAACTATTGAAATTATTTTTAATTATTTAAAAATATAGTATTAATACTAAAATAAAACTTATTAAAATTTGGTTTAAATTATATACTGTTTATAGTTAGTTAAATAATGTATGGAAAAATATTATTTTATTTCATTTTTAACTGTTTCTTTGCACATGTATTTTTAGTTATATCATTACTAATTTATTTAACGTTGGTTGTTATTACAGAATTATAAATTTTTTGTGTTGAAATTGTCAAATTAAATTAACTATTAAATATAAATTTATTAATGTACTTCTTAACTTACTTAATGTACTTCATTGATAAACATTGATAATTAATGAATTTCATAAAAGTAAAATTGAACCTAATTATATTATTATTAAACAGTAAGGTATATAATACTGTTCGAGAATGCGAGAACATATTCTTGCCACGACTTCCCACGGTCGCTGGACATTCAAGATGGTCAATATATCTGGAAAACTTCAGTGAATATTTAGCTTATTTATTCTTGCTTATCTAAAAACGTGCTCATGCTTTTCCGGTGCAGTAAAACTAATATGTTGTTTACTGCTAAGAAGACGTAGATTCTGATAGAGTATCGGATATACGTAAAATATCGAGTACTAACATTTTCTAAATAACGACAACAAGCAATAGGCATACGTGCGCACACGGCTTTTTAAGACAATGTTAGCCTTGTTCTTAACTACGCCGTATCTAGTCGATCGCATTGGAAGATCGACCACGCCCAAGAGGACCCTTCGTTTAGCCAAGTCCCAGAAAAGGGAGAGGCGATCAAGGAGAGGTGACCAATAGTAAAAGCTCCCCACTTTCCGACACTTTCCCGATTAGCATATTCGGGACTGAGCCCGGAAGGAAGTGGAAATGAAGGCGTGCATAATCCATTGTGCTGCCCAAGGTCAACCTCTAAATGGATAATTAAAAGAAGAAGGGATCCCAAGTGGAACTGGGCCAGTGAACCATTTAAGAAAGAACAACGTAATGTAGCACCACTTATTCTATTCAAACACTTCACACACAATTGAAGGATAAGTCACGACTTACTCTCACGAAGGAGGACCAGAGAGATGAGTCGTTCAGCTGAGTCTAACAGAAGTTCTTTCTACGATTGTGAATTAGTATACAGTTGAATTGATCTCATCAAGATTAGATTGCATAAGACCAGACCACTTGTAAACTCATTTGAAGACAAGGAAGGAATTTAAGAGCTGCAATTATTAAAAGGGAACTGCACAACAAGCCAACGAAGAGAGACTGGAAAAATCACGATACACTGCAAGTACGTCCATTCCGCTAGTACTGATTCTTGATCTCTCGGCTTTACTTTGAAAACGGACGACTAAAGGTCCGACTACTGAAGCTTCCCAAGCATACTCTAAAAACAGGACCAGCTATAGACCCCACACAGTGGCTTTTCATTTCCTCCAACGATCAGCGATTCGCGCCACATTGGTAGCGTACATTCCGCAACGATCATCTATTGACGTCAGACAGTGGCTTTTCATTTCCTCCAACGAACAGCAATTAGCGCCACATTGTAAGAGCATATCTCAGCAACGATGAGTTGTTGACGCCACAGGTGGCACACAGCTCCGTATAACCTGTATTTTAGGCTCTTACACGGCCCATTACTTAGAGGCAACTGCACACGTGTTGAGTTGAAACACGATAAGATTTTAGTGTTCGATCAGAGCACTACAACGATCATAACCTATTTCTTTATACAGTAAATCATAATCTCACCAGTAATATGCAGAGAATAAGAAATTGATCATCTTCTAGTTCTCCAATAAAAGGATATATCTCAACGCCACAAGAGTATTAGGAAATATAAAGGTCATTTGTAATTTCACCATGGTTAATGATTCCAACTTGGAAATAAAGTGAAATAAATGGAATAAACAGTAATAATTAAGATATGTGTTAATTATTTAATCAGTGTATTAACCCTTTACTTGTCCAGCATTTTCCACACAACATCTAGTGGTTTTTTGTTTTAAGTTGATTCTGCACGTTTTGGCTGACGACTCAGATTTGTGGAATTATTTTTTGAACAAATACATATATAACAGATTTAAACCTTTTGAGGTTCTATAAATCTTGAGTTTAATATCTATGGTAAAGAATATTTATAACTTTTCTACTGATTGATACCATTCTATTTTTATTCAGCCCAAACACTATTATTATTATTATACAAAATATAAGTTATAAATAAAAATAATTTTAAAACATATATTAATCAAATTTAGAAAAATGTCTGGTTTGTTACATAGAAGATTTTTACTACTAGAAAGACTTATGATAATATTTGCAACAATAAAATACGATATTTAAAACAAATGACAATGATAAACTGGTTTAAGGATAAAAATGTTATAATTATTTATATTGTAAGTATTTTGTTAACTATGATATGAAACATTTAAAAATGCCTTAGAATATAATTAAATTACATAATTTACATAATTTTTAACATACATATATTATATAAAATATGTTATATAAGAAATTTTGTTTTAAAAACATATTTATAAATTGATGATAAATTTAAAAAACATTTAAATACTGAATATATCATAAATTCTTTTGCAGATAAATTGAATAAAATAAGTAAATTTTTAAAGTTTTTAATTCATGTATTTAAATTGTGTAAGGTAAATTGGATATTTTATAAACTTTTTTTATTAACATACATATTAATATTAGATTTTCTTATTAAGACTAAATTATTTTTAAATATACATATATAAAATGTATAGATTTTTCTATATAAAAAATTTCTTGCATAATTAATAAATAAATTAATAAATCAATACATATATAAAAATATGCATATTGTTTTATGTTACGTAGTTTAACATATTTCAATTTTAAATTAAGTTTTAAAGTTGTTTTATATACTATCAATAAATTAATATTTTTAGTTGTAAGATTTCTAAACTCATTATAATTAAGAAATTCATACATAATTAGTATTTGATTTACATGTGTGTATTCCATGAAGAACTGAAAGAAATGGTCTGCTTACATCTGGATTTTTCTAACAGTAATGTTCTGTTATTTATTATAAAGTACATCTGGCTCCCAATTGTTTGTATTCAAAGATGTGTCTGAAAATTGCGAAAAAAGAAAATAGATTTATTTTTTCTGAATAAATAAAAAAAATAATATAAATATATATAAATTTTTTCCCCAAGAATTAAAATATAAACTATCCAATTTTATATAAAATTTAATGCTCTATTTGAGCATAATTTACATCCAGTTTTTAAATAAATATTGTTCGAAATTGAGAGAACCCTACCCAAGTCGTTAAACATCTGCAAAACATGTCGTCTGGACATCTGGAAAACCGAGCTCATTAGACATCTGGAAATAGTCGTTAAACCCAAAATTAAAAATCTAACTGTAGACAATAGCAGCCACTGTTTGTCATGTCTAGCAACACTGTCGCTTAGATAAGCCAAGCAGGCGCTTCAGTCAAGGGTTCCACTTGGCACGACGGTCAAAAGAAGACTACCCTCCCTGATTGAAGGCTTAGCCGCTAGGGGCGCTCCATAGGAAAAGAGCCGCCTCCAGAAAACTCTGATTGGAAAAACCAAAAAATCCGTGGTCAACGTAATAAATTTAAGGAAGATGACAATAAGACAAACTCACTCACTAACTCACAAGACTCAAACTCTCACTAGTGAGTCCTTGTTCTAACGAGGGAAGCCGCAAAGGACGAATTCTCGCTCTCAAGCTGAAGTTCTCAAGGAAGATAGTCAAGTCTTTGTGCAATCGCATTGCAACTTAAGGCGCCATAGTCTCTCAAGGATCCAGTATCAACGAGCATACCTCAAAGATCAAGGCCGCTATGAAAGCGCACACACTCTGCAGGTCCACTATTGCAGACTGAGCCAAGTGACGCTCGTTCCCCAAGCGCACGAAGCATATACAGACAAGCTCACACTACGTGCCATCAAGCAAACACGCTCTGCACGTCCACTACTGCAGAGCCAATATTGAGACGCTCGAGCCCCCAAGAACACGAAGAAGTTCCAGATTCACCACCACGTGGCACTACTCTCAGAAGTAGTAAGAGCTTTACACCTCTCACTTCTCAGGGTAAAATCTACGACCAAGCGCACTACGTCAAGAGGATCCGGAAATTTACAACCTCCTACCTCCGCAAGTAGTGCATGTTAACGCCACGTGGTAACCGCTACGGAATTACAAAAGCTCACTATTGTCATCATCAACAAAGAATCATTTCTATAGTTAAAGGAAATTAAACCGAATAAGCAACACAAAAACAGATGCGTTATCCCTTTTACTTGCCCGCGCGTTTTTCCCACTTAACGCCTAGTACTCTTTAGTCTTGAAATAATGTTCTTCTACAAATACTGTAATAATCAAATATGATAAAGTATTTGATAGACTATTATTCCGTAAAAGAATAATTTCATTATTTTATTTCTTTTATCGTGTTGTTATCTTATAAGTCATTGGATTAACTTATTTATCTTATGGAATAATAAACTGATCGTTAGGACGGTATATCTGATTATATTAGTGCTTAATTTAAGAAAACAATTATGCGCTAATAATTCCTCTTCTTAATGAAGTGACCCCTTATATCTTTGATATGAGCTATATAAATATAAATCAGAAGTAATTTACTATGTAAATGTTTAAGATCATTAAAGTTTTATTTTTTGATAAAGATATTCATTATAATAATTGAATGGTATTTTATTTTCAGTAAAATTAGTTAAAAACAACAAGTAATTAATTAAATTTTATAGCTTAGTTTCAATTTTATTTTTTAACACAATATAAATTGAGATCAAACTTTCATCATAAATTTTATTTGTTTCTCTATAAATATTTCACAATGTTAAGAAGCACATACTGCAGCACTTTGTCGTATATATGACTAATGAAGTAAACAACTTATACTATTTGATATAAGAAAAATCCCTCGTTATTATTATTACATAACGTTAATTAACTTATTAAGACAATCATTTCAGAAATTGTGCTAAATAATAGATATTGTGTTATTTATTTTATAAATAGATATTGTATTATTAGATCTATTTGAAAAATAACATTTTTATTTTCCTAAATTAAATTTAAGAATAATTTGTATAAAATAAAAAAGTTGAAAAAAAAATACGTTAGAAAATACAAATCTTATACAATATAAATGCAACATCAACCATAACAACATTTTTCAAGTAATAAGTACTGCGTAAATACTGCTATACTATTAAATAAAAAAATAAAACAAAAAAAATTAACAATATAATAAATATAATACAATATAATAAAAAATTACATAATCCATTATTTTGTTTGTATATAATTATAGAAATTCCAATTTATTTATTTTTTTTTGTAACAGAAAATAGAGAACAATTTTCTTTTTCCTTGAATATCTGTACAAGAGGAAGGTATGCAGGAATAATATATAACTTCGTTTTATAAATGAATAAAATAACAATATTAAAGAGTTGCTTTAAAAGCAGTCTAAGGAATATTTTATCTATCTTATTAATATTATTATACACACATAAGTCAATCATAACGAAAAAGTTATGTTAGTTTAATTGAGAATATGACAAAAGTTTGACCAAAATTGTAATATAAAAATTTATCAAGAAATAATTACAGTAAGAATGTTTATCAAAAAAGACAGACTACCAAAATCGCATTATATATGATATTTCTAATCCTTTCTTTCTTATAATCATTTTTCGGTGTAGTTCTTCAAGCAAGTAAGCTAATTTATAATTTAATATTTACCAATTTTTTTAGTAATCAAAAGTGATGTAGAATATAACTGACAATAAACAGCAATGGCTGATCATTACATATTTAAATCAAATAAATTCGTATGTACATATGCAAAGATAAGAAAATTGTAAAGATATAAAATAAAAGAATATAATTAATAATGAGATATAGAAAACGTACTTGATTATATTTCATATAGTATCAGAAAGTAAATTTATTTTCTGAAAAATTGAATAAATTAATAACATCATGTTAAAAAAACTTTTAATTTCAAATGATAATATCAATATTTAATTACTTTCATTTGTTTAGGAACTAAATAGAATCCCTTCCTAAGATTATTATAAATATAATTTCATTACTTAATACTTGAATATTATTTATAAAAAAATATAGAGAAATAATTTATTACATTAAAATTAGTACGTATTGGAAAATATTTAAATCTAAATAAATGAATTATTAAAAATTGATTTATTTCATATTTACTTATTTACTCATTATCTTTTATATTTTTTCTCTATATTAATTAAAGAGTTTGTTACATTATGATATAATTTATTACACTCATGAACTCAAAATAAATGAAATCAATATTTTTTGTGTGGTGGTTATATTAAAAAAGTTATTAACTGGTATTCATATTAAACAGTTTTCTTTACTTTTAAAAACTTTAAAATTTCCATGCTCTTTTTTCAAAGTATGTACATAATAATCAATATAAAATATATTTTTAATTCTTATTAAAAATAACTTTCTCAATTTGAAGATATGCAACAATTAATAATATGAAATAAATTTTAAAAAATTTCTTGTTTTATATAAAATTTATTATCCTTCTACTCAATCCTAAAAAAAAGACGTGTAATGTCCAATATAGCTATTAATTTTGTTTGATATAAAAAATGATTCAACTTATAAAATATTTTAATTATATTTATTCGTTAGATTTTCGATAAGGTTTAATTGTAGATAATAATCAAAAAAATTTTACTCAATAAAAAAATTATTATATAAGTTTCGAATGATATTACTAAATTAAAAAGGGTAAAATTACAACCTTTAAAAGTTTAAAGATACTCCAATTTAACTGTTTCAGAGCTCATTTTCTTTATCGATCTTTTGTCTCCAAGATGCCTGAAAAAAATTTAATATATCTGTAATTCAAAATAAAACAGAATTTAGTTTACCCAAATAAAATAAAATTACAATATTCATAAGTTAAACTTAAGTAGTTGCTTATTTAAAATCAATATTAACTTTTACAACAATAATGAATTATATAAATTAATTTAAATCCAATCATTTTCTGAAATGTCGATTTTATTTGTCTGAAATCTTTATTTATTTTCTATAAACTTTTATAATGCAATTATAAATTAACTTCATTTATTTTAATAAAATTTAAATAACATTAAAAAATCATATAACATTCATTAAACAAAAAAAAAAGTTTTATGTTTTTTAATGCAACATGTGTGATATTATGTTCATTCTATATAAATTTGAAATTTGAAACGTGCTATTTTACGATTCGTTGGAATTATTTAATAAATAATATAAACTTTTAGAATATTATTAGTTTCTATTATCATAGTTATAGGTATCTCCATCCTTAAAAGTTACTATATATATATATATAATTTGATTTAAAATATATATGTTTAAATTATAAAAATTTCATAAGCTTTGAATTAGAAATTACTCTAACATCTATAATTACTCACGAAAGCACTAAATTAACTGAAATACAAAAGTACTGTATTTACAAAACAACCTAAGATAATAAATCAAATATTTTGACAAGAAATATAACATATTTTCATGTTTTCTTTAATACAGTTTGCACGATCTATTTCTTTAACATTCAAATGTCAAAGAAATACAGATCAACTAAAACGTTCAACCGAATACGTATAGTATTGAAATCAATTTTACATTCATTATTTACATTTCTATAATATATCTAGATCTAATAATCATTACTGCCTTACATAAAATTAAATTTATATATCTACTTATTAGCATAATGAATTTTTAATGAATTAAAACAATTTAATTGTTTTAATTTTATTTTGAATTTTTTAAAAATATTTAATATAATTTAGTATTTTTTAATATTCACAAATAAATTATATGTATATTACTATATAATTTAATATAGCTAAATTGCTGTGAAAATTATATATAAATTTTATTTTAACGTTTACAAAATGATACACATGTATTTATAGACACCAAAAAAAACAGGAAAATACTTTAATAAAGATATACAATTATATTCAATTTAGGTTCACAATTTATTTTTGAATTTAAACATCCTACGAAATATTGATTTATATTGGCATTGGAAATAATGTAACAATTATGACAATAAAATAATACATTCGTCCGATTTTGAAACAAAGAATAAGATTCAAAAATAATTTTTTAAAAATATTTTTTAAAAATTCTCAATTGTCCATCCTTTAAAATCGACGCCGTTATATATGCTTTTTTGGACACTATAGCATAGTGTATGCATATAATTACATAATTTCAATCATTAAAAGTAATTTAACAATACGTGTAGCTTAATATTTATATATATTATTTAATAAACATAAATCTGTAATTATATAATATATAATTCCGTGATCAATGTTAGATGTTTTTTCTTTACTTTAGTTAAGTACGTATACGATTTGATATGTGGACTTTAAAGTTTGTTTCAGTATATAATTTTATCTTATTAAAGTTATTCAAGTTTCAATTATATAAGAAATTCTAAAAACAATTCTAAACTCCTATAAGAATACTAATGAATGTAAATAAAATTCTTTGTTAATATAAAATATTTTAAAATATTTGTCGAACAAATGAAATACTGCCACGAATTTAAAAAATTTTTCATGCATAAGAAGTGATAAGTGATACTTTAACCACATTATTTAATAAATTTAAAATAATCTTTTTAATACAAGTTAAAAAATGATATAAAAACAGCATTGAAGCTTTGTTATTAATCAAATTTATTTTATGTCACTATATTATTAACTCTATTTTTTATTAAAAAAATTAATTTTTTGAATTTTTGAAAATATTCATAAAATTTTCAAGATTACAATTTAATTTTTATTCTAAATAAATTTTGTATATCTATTGAAGTTAACATGATTATCTACAAAAAATATTGTTTTAATTAAAAAAATTTACAAGACTTATTTGAAAAATTCATTATATTAATAATTAAACACAACTAATAAAATTAGCTTCTATACAAACATATTTGCAATATAAACAAAAATTAATTTGATAGAGTATTTTCAAAATAATAAAAGGTTATCGTTATATTTATTCTTAATTGCCTAAAATTAAAAAAAATTTAAATTTCCAAAGCATTTTTGTATTATGTAGTGATATGGTATAGTATTTTAGTTTATACTCGAGTTATTTTATACTTTATATATAGTATATAGTTTATACTTTATACATATATTTTAGTATTTTATACTCAAGTTGAAAAAAAGAAAACAAATGACAACTTTCGGAAAGATGTAATTTTTTAAAAAATTGTATATCCAACAATTAATATATAAGTTTTTAATTTATGTGACATATTTTTACACTGCTTAAAATACTTTTAAATGAATCATTTATGAATGACAGAATGAAGATAGAAATAGATTATCGTTATTTATTTTCATGCTATTGTTATATAATTCAGTTAAAGAAAAACAAATTAAGTAATAAAAATATTTATAAATATAATAAGCTAATTATTTTTATTTAATAGAACTTAAAAAAAAATATCTGTAATGCAATATTAATCATAAAAACTTATTATCTCCTATTTATAACTTCAATGAAATAGTCCTTGATACCACTATTATTCAATAACAAATTAATTACAAATACTGTTTTTTAGTCATTATTTTCCAAAATAAAAACTTTTCAGAGTTCAAAATAGAAATGTAATCTTTATGAATGTAGTGCCTAAACTATTAATAGAAAATACAATATATTTATCGCAATTAAAATGTATATATATTACGTATTTTAGAGTATAGTCAAAAATAAAATAAATAATAGTTTACCAATTTACAAATTTGCAATATTTAAATTATAACAACAATTGAATAAAAATAACTATAACATTCATATAGTTATAGCCAATATAGAGTATAAGTATTCTCTTATAACTGTATTTATTACAAAAATATTTATTTGATTGAATCAGAATTATGAAAAAATGAAATATTTTTAGATATAAATTAGCAATGAAAATATTGAGATTATATTTACATGAATATGAACAACTGAGTAAAAGACAAATGTGTACAAATGTAAACGATGAATTAAAATTTGTGATTAAATAAAAAAGTCAAAATCAATATTTTTCTGATATTTCAAATTTCATTACTAAAACTTACCATTTCTGTGGTAAGACTTGCTAAAGCCTCTTCTACAGAAGAAATTCGACTTTCGTTTTTTACTGTTTGACTTGCATGAATTGGGGTTGTTGGGCAACCTATAAAGTTATATCTTATTATAAAATTATTATTATATATTTTAAAGTAAAAATATGATATATAAAATTCTAAATATTACACCGAATTTAAATACGTAAATATCTGCTCATAAAAAATTCTAATAAATTCTAATAAATACTAATTTATAAAAAAATAACTAAATATATAACGTATTTTATTCTATTTTAAAAATACTTCGATGTTTATACAAATTGATTTAGATAATACATTTGTTGATTTTAAAATTTATTTTATAAATAGATTTGTTAGTTAAATCCTTTTGAGAATACAAAAAATTTGTCAAATATAAAAAAAATATTCTAATGGAATGTCACGAAATGAGCATAATATTTTTTCATAATAACAATAATATACAATCAAATTTTCAATTTTGAAATTAGTAAATATTGTTTTATAATGCAAATTTAAATATTTTCATAATATTCAAGACACTGTACATATTCTGTACATTCTGAACTACATAAGTAAATATAATTATTATAAGTAATTTCCATGTACGAAATTTCAATCGAAAAATTAAACATCGTTTATTTCAACATTAAAGTGCACTTGCTTTCATGAATATATTATTATAAGATGCTATAATAAGACAATATTTTTATGCGTAATTAAAGTAAAATTGATAATTAATAAGTAATTACAAATCATAATTTTTTAAAAATCAAATTAGAAATATTTAAACAATTCTTTGTGAAACTAAATATTTTATAAAAAAGCAATTTTATAAAATTTTAATAAATTATTTTGCTAAAGTAATTTATATGAATATTTTCCTATTTTGCTCTAAATTGTAAATGTAGAAAATATTTTTTAATATTTACTAGGGTTCAAACTAAATTATGGACTGAATGAATACTTACCTATATCACCGCTACTGGAACTCTCAGTGAAAGATGGTGTACCTTCTGTCCAAGTAGGCGTTGAACCTTCTGCACTGCCAACAGGTATTGTCCAAGTGTTGGTAGCGCCTCGGCTACTACTGCCTCCACTCTCTACACTTAACGAAGATTTGGTTTGACGACCGTCTCCACTACCGCTTCCACTACCACAACTATAAATGCTTTCCAAGTGTACATCGGAAATACTATAAAATATACATAGATTTATTTAATAATGAAATACAAATTTCAGAATAGATTGAGTGTTTATATTGGTTGAGACAGCATTATTTTAAGATTAAACACGGTTCAATTTTAAATGAAATATGAGGAATACTTTTTTTAAATTTTAAATTTTTTTAAATGATATAGTTATTATTACAATATATATTTTTAATGATACAAGTAATAAATACTCCATATGCTAAATTCTAAGTCATATTATGCAAGTGATATGTTATGCAAATAATGTAAAACAGTTTCGTAAATTTATTATCTATAAAAATATTTTGTATTATTTTTTATATATGTCGGAATACTAAATATCAAAGCAGAGTAGATTTTCTATGACACTGAACGTTACTATCTCGTGTAGACTTACAACTTTGAAAATTTAGAAAAAGAGCCACGAATTAAAATCATCAGTTAAATGCAACAAAAGTTGTTCTAAGGTCATAATTATACTTTTAATCAATCAATCATCAATAATCAATGTTAAATACTAAATTATTAATAGCATTTACTACCTCAAATAAAAATCAATTAAAAATACTAAAGATGAATCATTGCTTAACAATACTATAATTTAACTTGAAGAAATCCTTGTCCTAGCTAATATAACAAAATTTCATCCATATTTCTTACACCGAAAAGTAATTTTTAGATTTCCAAAATTACTTTTAAGTTTGTCAGATCTAAAACCTTGATATGTAAACACGCTTGATTGTCGATATTCTCTCAAACATGGCAATTCATTAATATATAATTATTTTAATAATATATATTAATATTAAGAATGTTTACTCATAGCTAATCAATTTGTTATTTTGGTACAAAAAGATAATTAAAATGACTTATAATGTCAAAAATCATTGATCTCACTAGTACATCTTTGTATAACAACTATAGATACTCAAAAATATTTAATTTATTAGTCGACCAAAACAGATCATAAAATAATAGTGAGCTATTAGATCCAAATCGTATAAGTACAATTTAGATTTGAATCACGTGCATAAAAAAATATTTTTAATGTAGATGAAGATCATCTATGTTACTATAAATAAATGTTACATAAACAATATGACACACGTGAAATAATTTGAACATAATACAAAAAAACCAAAGAAAGATATGTAAGTATATGATACTTATAAGAAATTTTTAATATCTCAGAACAACTCCGTGCTTATATACATAATTATATACATATTAGTTTATTAACATACTTCATACAAATTGATATCTCATATATATCTCTTATATATGTGTAATTCGATTAATGAAGTAAAATTATGTCCAATACAAAAACATTGATGATAGAGGAGGAAATGTAGTGTCTTATTCATTATAGGCTTCATAAATTTCCATGTCCACGCCACATATTTTACTCAATCATTAAACATATCTATATTGAAAGATGAGAAAAGAAAAATATACGATAGATAAATACTGCAGAAGTATATTAATTTAAAAAATTTAAACCTAACAGATAGTTTTTTCCAAATAAATTGTGCAATTTTGATGCTTAAGAAAAATATTAACATTTTCTTCTTTACTATCTCGCGGATATTTTTTTACTATCCATTTTATTCGGAATAAATTCAATCATGAACAATAATTTCACTAGCTCCCACAATAAAAATTAATTAAATCACCATTTTTGTGCCAGTCGGCTAAATTTGAAAGTTTTAATTTTTATATGAGATGAATATTTATTCTATCTAATTCGTAGAAAAAATTTGTCGAATTTTTTTTCTTTAAAAACTTTACACAATTTTTTGTATAATTTATTATTAATAACTTTTATAAATGTATGAAGAATAGAAAAGATAACAAATTTAGCAAATGCAAAACAAAAAATTTGTTAATTTTAAATTATAAGTTACAATTAATTCATAGAGATTTTTTACTTAAAATAATTAGAATATTTTAATAAATTAACAACATTAGTATAATTCTAATTTATATAAGTTTTATTTTACTTTGAAGTTTATTATATCGTTATTACAAATACTATACTAAATAACATTAAGGGGTATTGTTATCATTAAGATACATATAGATGACAGTATACGTAGTGCCACTAGTGACAAAAAGGGTAATTTACATTTTTTTAAATATATCTAGAAATATCATAACATAATTGTTATATAAATAGGTTTAAAACTCGTATTCAATTTTTGATAAAATAGAAAACTATATTTTATTGATTTTGCATCGATAATTATTAAACTATATATAAAAATTAAAACAATATCATAAAAATTAATTTTAATTAAATGATTTTCATACGCAATTAAAACTTCGATCAAATTAATCGATATCCCTTTGAATATATTATCTAATCATGTTTATAAACGGTTTTTATTTGTATGTTTTATGCTTTAAATTGATGCTTTTATTTTTAGATAGATTTTTTTTTAAATAATTTGACTATGTCGATGTACAATTGGAAAACCTGCATAAGCAATTTAAATTAGTATAATAGTAATAATTATATTAATTATGTGACGACTCTCTTATGAAAGAAAAATTTGAAATAAATGGTAGAATCTATTATGATTAAACCAGCTTTTATTATTATTTTTTATATAAAAATTATCACTATTATATTTCTTGTACTAAGATTTTTTATCTGTTAATAAAGTATACAATAATATAGCTCAGAATTCATAACTCATTTTAATTAAACTTTCACTCTGCTATTCAAATGTATTTATGCTTATTATAATTATGTTTCCAAATATTTGATTTATATTTCAAAATGAATTTTTAAACGTGCTCAATATATTTTTTATAAATCATTTTTGTAAGTAATTGGACAAGTCTATATAATTAAAAAGGACAAAACAATTTCTATAAAAACTAACGATGCAACACTTATCTTGCATTAAAAAGAAAACAAAAAAAGCAAATGTAGAGTAAATGACAATTTAAGTCTAAAGGCATTTATAATTATATCTAATATTATATATTTTTTATTAAACACTATGCAGCATTTACATTAAATTAAAATACCATATTGAATTGAAAAGAATTGGTTTGTGAAAAAATTTTATAGAAAAAAAATAAAAACACATACCTGACAGTATCGTGAGACGTTTTAGTAAGTGTGACATAATGCACAACTTTATTTTGACTGGTACGTGAACTAGAAAGATTACTAATTAACATGGATGGGCTCATGGATCTCTTTTGTGGATGATGGTAATGATCATGATCCTGTGGATGATAATCTCCAGTAGCCAAAGTTTGATCATTCGAACGTACTGCATCATCAAATGGTGGAGGAGGAGTTGAACAAGTAGAAGGCAAGGTACCGCCTATAAAGAAAATAATCTTCTATTAGCTTATATTATAATTTGTTAGACTTTATATTAACAATATAATTATTACAATCTTCATTTTTTTTACACGTACGTATAATGGATAAACTTTATCTAGAATAGGTTTATCTTATTAATAGCTAAGTATATTTTTCATGAAGCAAAACATAAACGACATTTAAAAGTAGATAAGTATGAAGAATGGAAGAAAGAGCCATTGATAAATTACATTTTAATAAAAATAAATTGATTGGGATTTCACCCTTTTTCAATAAGACATAAAGCTTATAAAAAATTTTATTTGGGATATACGCAGAATAGAGCTACTGAAAAATTATTAAAATGAATAATTAATTATCATACATAAATAGAGTATTTCCATACATATGATAAATTAACGTAACACACGCATCCGCGAATGCAAGTAATCAATAATATAATAGTAATGAAAACTAAGTAATATTTTATGAAAATGAATAATTGATCAATATTTCATTAATAATATTTATTATCTATTACAATATTTTATCGTATGTTCAAAAATTTTCATGAGGAAGGTTATCTGAAAAAATGAAGTTTGATTACATTATTAACAAACATCATTGCGAAATAAGCTTTTCTGTAATATTCATCACATACATTATTGCATAATAATCATTAGTATAAATAAAATTAGTAAGTTATATTTTTATTTTATATAAAAAATTTGCTACTAGTGACAATGTATTAACCTATTAACGAACATACATTTTATATAACCGAATTTTAATCGGAATTTAATTTTATTTAAAAATTTAAAAATTATCATATTACAATTTCAAGAAACAATTTAAATAATTACATAACTACATAGAAGTATACTTTATATTCTTATAGTTTGTTTAATTATTTAATGTCAAAAATTATATACAATTAGGTGTAAATTACTTTATTAAATAAAAAACAAAATATATAAAATCAAATTTTCAGATGATCAACTATACTTTTATTATGAAAGATATACTGTACATAAGTGTACTATAAAAAATTATGTAAAATTTATTGCTTGCATAGTCATGCAAAGGATATTTGTTATATCATGCAATCTTTTCAACCGTCATATCATTTTACTAAAACATTCATTGAAATTTCTATATATGATACACAACTATTTGTTGAATTTACGACATTCGAAAATATAATTTACTTTTCAAACATTGGTAGAACAGAATAGCCTACCTCCATTCATTTATACATTTATTTTTAAAAGTAGTTAAAAACTTTTTTTATTTTATGCAAATAATCATTTTGTTTTACAAATACTTCCTTTTCACCTTTTTAAATTTAATACCTTTTTGTTATTTTACGTTAATTTAAATATACTTATGTTATATATCCTAAAGTTCACTGTTATATAAAGAACAAATATTCTATCAAACTAAATTTTTTTCTTTTTTTGAATCCTGCATATTCTTTCATAGTGATTTTTGTCTATATCAATTTTCAAGTTCTAAATAATTAATTAATTTTTATAAGATGCCTGAATTTGAACATGCTAAAAGATATTTATTGTTTATTTATGTAGAAAGATCTTGAATGAAATATTAAAAGTGCAAACAATTTAGATAAGTTAGAAATATTTTTCGTTGTATTATTTTTGTTTTTACATCTTGGATTTCTAACTAGTTTTTAAAATAATGAACTAGACTTTAGGACATAAGGATTAATCAATTCAACATTGAAATTGATTTCGGTATAAATTAAAATACTGGGTTACAAAAAATATATTTCTTTGATGACTTATGTTTCTAAAAATAATCAAATAAAATAAAAAATATATGCTTTTAAATTCGATATTAATATTCATCAAATAAGTTGGACCACGAGGTTCATGGTGCTAAATATTTTACAATAGATGTGGAAGAACATGGTTGAGCACAATACTCATGCATTATTGAAGATAGTAAACTTAACCATGCAAGTTCGAAACGTTCATTTGACGAAAAGAATGTTTTTTCATCATTATCACCTCGGCAAGATGAGAGTTCAGGTTTACCCTTGCAAGAAATACTGCCGCGTGGTGGAACTGGCGGTGGCACCTTGATAGACGATATACGATTCTGATGTGGTGGAGAAATAGACGTTGCTCTTAAATTACTGCCTTTAAGAACAACTGGATATTGATTAATAGCTTTAGAAGTGATAGATATAGGTTCACATTTGCTTTGAAGAGGCGATGGAATTATTAGTCCAGTTGATATGATAACAGGTGTTGATGTGGCGATGGGAATCGATGATGTAGAAACTATATCACCGATACTTATTATTGCACCCTCTTTTCGTTCTTGATTGACTGTTCGTATATATTGTATAAGAAATTTATAACAAGATAAAATTAGATATAATAAATTAAGATTTTTAAATATTTAAATGAAGGGTATTTTTTTTTAATATTAACGGTTAAAACACATAACAATATACATTAATAAATTTTGTATGCATAACTTTGAAAGACCTTGAAATAAACTTTCATATAAATATATTTCATATTCTACCAAATTACACTAGATATCAAAATTATTTTTTTAATTTTTCAATTTCAGTTTCGAAACAATTAGATATTTAAAAATAATTATTTTAAATCAACAATTTCAACAAATGTATCAGAAGTAATAAACTTAGAAATAGATACAATCTGAAAATTTTCATATATTTATATTTATTCATAATAACTTAATTAATTTGTAATTCAAAACCAAATAAATACAATATTGTGGTATGACGATGAAATTATAATTTAAATCTTGCATAATTTATTATACATTGTAAAAGTAATATAGAATACTAATACTTTTTAAAAAATACAAATTATGTATAATTATAGAAGATTTTGATAATACGTAATTCAATTTTTAACTAGTTCTGTGTTCTAAAGCATTTTTACTTTTAATTCTTTAATTTTTATTTCTCTCAATTACAATCTAACAGTAATTTATTGAAAATACAAAGAATATCCTTTTTTAATTACTTCTAATTTCTAATCTTTAATTTAAATTTTTAATTTCTAATCTAATAAAATAAAGACAAACAAATAACATTAAATTTTAATTAAAAAATATATTCTTTGTAACTCAAAATTAATATTTTTAAGCAATCAAAACAATTTATAAATAATATGCTACTGATATAAGATATTTTTAAGCTATCTTTATTTTTAGATTACCATACGAATTAACAATAAAATTTATTTAATGTACATTAAATGTTTCTAATTACTATTAATAGATTAATTAATCATATCCGTTTAAATATATATATATTTATATATAACTAAAAACAATTATTTAAATATTTACATACATATATTATTAAAAATACCATAAACTTTAAAATTATATTTAAAAAATATTTGCATTTTATTTAGCTTCTACTAATTTTTTGTACGTTAATACTCATTAATAAAGTTCTCAAATCATATATATAATCATATTTATTTAAGTAATTTTGCGACTGAATTAAATACAAAATGCAAACTAATAAAATTTTTATATTCCAATTTTTTTAAATTTTACGTATTTAAAATTATGTATAATTTTTTAAAGAATATAAGTAATCTTATATTCTAATAATACTTTATATTATTATTTATAATAGAATATAATTTTATTTTAATAAAAGACGACAAATTGTGAAATATGTGTTGTATCAATAATTGAAATAGATTTAAAGCTTAATTTTCATTAATTGCAAATAGATTATAATTTTGAATCTAAATTTGTTAACAGGATTTTATATATTTTTTATATGTACAATGGCTTATTCAAATATTTAATAATTTTGTTTAAATATAAGCAAGATAAGAACAATATTGAAACAAAAATCGACTTCTACATATTTATAATCGTTTTTTATAAAAAAATATTATATACTATAAAAATATTTAATGAAAAACTTTTTAATGTATAAAGCACCATAAGCTTGTATTATAAAACAGGTAATAGTGTATAATTGGTTTTAAAATCTACATTTCGAACAAAGTTGTTATACACTTAAAAATAAATAGTATAAAAATCGTATGCATGCACGTAAACAATTAAGTTTTATCGAATCTTAATCGTACTATCAACTTATTTAAATATGCTTTTATTAAGTTAAAATTTAAAAAATTGATACCATCTGCAACAAATATACCAAAAATGTAGTAAAACACAAGTGTAAACTATTTTACATTTACAACATTTCAAAATATTAAAAACAATAGATACTTAATATCAGTAAATTAATTTTGATAAAAAAGATAAATATCTCCATGCAACATACAAGAAATATTTATTTAATTAATACGTAATTATGTATTAATAAAAGTTTATAAAAAATTATATGATTAATTTTATTCTGGATTTTAGCAATTGAATTAAAAATTAACTTAAATCGTTAAAATTTTTTTATTAGATTTAATTAAAACCTTAGATTACATATAAATATTAAATACCATAATTTGAATTTTAATATATTTTAAAATAAAATAACTTCTTATTAATCATATTGTAAAAAAAAATAAAAAATTGTATTATATATTAAATTAAATTATAATATATTAAAATTGATTAAAATTCGTAAAATGATTAAAAGCATGTCTTTAATTAATAAAAATTTTTTTAATTTTACCCAAATTGCTTATTAATGTATAACGCTGGAAACAAAATAATTATTTTATGTTATTTAAATGTTTTAAATAACGTATTAAGAATAAATTTTTACAAAATAAATATCTGTGAACACAAAAATATAACTATTATTGATAAAATAAATCATTAAAAAATTTAATACTTTCTTGAACCTAAATACATAATATATACGATGCTGACAATTTTTATTAAAATACAAATTTGAAACCTAATATATCGAATCATAACTGATTTAGAAATACATGTATAGAAAATATTAATTTCATAATATGGATACTTACTACTATTATCAATATTTGTCAAGACTATAATACTATGTGGAATTTAAACTAACAGTTTTTTTTAAATATATTATATTATTTGGAAACGAGATCAAAACTGAATGTAATTTTTAAAACCGATAGTAAATGTACCTTTAAATAAATATTTTCTTCATATGTTTATTTCGATTGAAAAATAATTTACTACATAGAGTATAATAAAATAATTATAAACTTTTAAAGGATTTTAAATTGTTTAATAATAATTAGTTTGAATAAATGAAAAATATTAAAATAAAATAAAACAAGTAAATTTATTATAGGCAATGTTTCAAAATTTCATATTTTTAAAAATAAGACTAAAACATTGTATGAATTTTTTTATAAACTCATAATAATCGTAAAGCAAATGCAGATGCATCTTTTGATCTAATGTTAACTGCTATCATTCATTTTTTTGTAAAAATTAAAAAAATTTCTTACAATATATTCATTATATATGTGAATTTTTACAGAAGTATTTTCATTTTAAATTTACAATATATTTTTTGGGATTAAAGTTTTTTATGAATTAAAATTTGTGATTTAAATTTCATTCTCTTGTAAAATTCTCTTGCATATCTACTTAGGCAATTAATTAAAAGAAAAGTTTAAAATTGTAAAAAACTTTTGTGCAAAAGATCAATTTCTAATGTTTCTTAACAATTATATAATTTACGGTATTATATAATAATAACGTTATTATCAATATTCAAGTTGAAATAATAAATACATATAATTTAAATAAAACGCATAAAATGCTTTCAGAATTCACATACATATCATGCTTAATAGATTTCAAGTTAGATTTGTTATTCGTTTTTATTTTTAATTTTATTAATTTTCATAATTAATTTTATTCTTTTTAGATTTGTTACTTAATCAATAGAACTTGTAATTGCTCAACGATTTTTAGTAGTAAATGTTTTTTATATTTCTTTTTCATGGTTATTTTCACATTGAATATTGATATTACTACTATTATTATATATATCAATTTTCACTTAATTTACGAATTGATTTATTATAAAATCAAGGGTTTATATTTATCATATCATGAAAATTCTTTACTGTTTTACGCTTTTTATTTTAAATAAATTTTAACTTTTCCGAATTTCGTTTTGATATAATATTAATATTTTATATTATATAAATCATGAGATTAAAAAACATAATTATAGTATTACCTTTCACTTTATTTGTGGACCTTTCATGTTTCATTTGGTAATCATTTAAATGATTGGCATACATCGTATTCATTTGCATCGGAATAGTTTTCCCACGATTTATACGCAACTTAATAAGATAATTTATTAACAACTTCCAAAATTTTATCAATAGTATTCAGTCAGAATTCCAATTCAGTGCAAAGATTAGAAACTGTTTCCTTCAATTACCATTTCTTGAAATTATTAAACATTCCATATTGTTATAACATAGATTCTAAAGTTGCTGAACTCAATGATAATAACAGTTTTGCAGTTTTATATATTCTTTCTATAAACTAAGAACATAGGGAAATGCATAAATTTGCAAAATATTCTTATACCCGTTCATTATATATATCAAAATATTTTATTGCGATTATAATTTATTAATTAATTTCAAACATATTTTGCTTACTGATCGTCGTATTTCGAGTATTTTTTATTTTACACACAAAAGTTTATTAACTTTTTTGAAAATGAATATTTTCTCCATATCTTTGCATATGATTATTTAATTAATTATATAAAAATTATCGGAGAATTTCTAATTTTTACGTATATTTTAAAAATAAATATTAAAATTTCAAAGATTTTAAAGTAAAATAATATAATTAAATAATTCCTTTCAATATCATTATAATAATATTTACAACTTTCCTCACAATTAAAAATTGAAACTGGTAAATGTCTTAACAATAAATACATTTATGAGATAAATATAATATTTATATATATATTAATAACTTTTTATAAAATAAAAAATTCTTGTATGTTTGTAAACTATTGGAGAAATTCATTACTATATAAGATACGTTACGAATATTTATTAACTACAAATTTTCATAAATTTCATCAATTACACAAATTGAATTCTTATTTTATATTTATAACGGTAAATTTAACAATTTTACGAACTTCACTATAAACTCTATTACAAAAAAATAGAGAAAAACTTTTATTTAAAAAATAAAGCAGAAATAATTTAAACTTAATAATTTTAACTTAATCTTTATATTTTCCAATAATAATAAAAATAAATATCACTAAATATGTTTTAAATTTTTAAAAAAGCTCAAATTAATTAAAAAAACTTCTATTAGATGATCTATAAAAATTCACGTATTTTTATAAAATATTCGTAAGTAATAAATTATGAAATTAACATATTTTAGATTTTATTTTTAATTATAATTATAATAAAAATATTCATTTTTAAATTTTATAAATTTTCAATATTTATTCTTTTAATTATACTTCACAATGTAACTAAATATGTAAATTTTAAATAGAAAATGTTACCAAATTATTATTTAAATATTTTAATTCAAGAAAACTTCAAAGCTGCATGTATACTGGTTTGAAACAATAAATAAAATACTTACAGGTATTTTGTACAGATAAAAATGATACTTTTATTGGTGTCAATCATATGTATTATGCATTTTCAACGAGATTAAACGAAGAGTATGTGAAAAATTACGAAAAGATGAGAAATGAGATGATTTAACTTGCAATAACCAATCTTCAACTGAAAAAAGAAAAGAAGATTTGCGGGTACAATATAAACATATAATAAATACCAGTCTCGCTGATCCACAGTAAGTAAAAAAAATTGCATTTATTTTTATTTGATCTCGAATTTTTATTAATTAATACATGGCTGTTATTCTTGGTCAAGTTATGCACACACTAATCTGAATTAACTATATGAGCATGTGTATGCTTAAGTTTGTCAATAGTAAATTCAAAGATAATGCATAAATAAAAGTTTTTCATAATATGTGATAGCAATGAACATGAAAGAAAAAGATAACGATATTTATTTGCATTTTGTATAATAGAATAAAAAAAAATTTTTTTTGAGCGATATGATTGGCTTGTTCCAATAAATTAACGACAAATCTTAACTAATAGTTATTTTTTAAAAGTCAACATTACAATTTTAATTGTAATAGTTTTTATTAGGATATATCAATTGCGACTTATTTCATATTGGAAACTGTAATTAATAATATAATACAATATAATAATCTCTTATTATATAATATAATAATCTTAATAATGATATATAAGAATCTCCTTGAACAGTTGTAAATCCCTACATTTATAATTGATTAACAAAATGAATATCAACAGTTCCTTAAATTTTTTAAAATTAATTTAATTACAATATCTTCAAAAAATACTAATTAATTAGTAACGTAAATGAAACTCTTATTTTTACAAATTGATTATGGATACATGTTCAATGAAAAGTTTAAGATATAGCCTATACAATTTTGTATAAAATGATGTATTAATTATAAATATATACTCTTATTATTTATATTAATATTTATATTAAGCAAAATAACATTTGAAGGTATTATAGATAAAAATAAATTATTGATCAATATTTTAACAATATATATAAGTTAGAATTTAGAAAACATACATGATTAAAAAAAAATTATGGATAGTAAAATATTTTTATAATTTTTATATTATTAATTATTATTTGATCAGTTATTTAATCACAATTATTTACATAAGCATTATTTAACCAAATAATATGAATTATAATCGATACGATGGAAGTAACTCTACAATTTAGAGATTAATTATTTTATAAAATTAAATACTCATATATACTCAAAATAATTAAAAATGAATAAAGCACAAAACTTACCAAGCTTTGTAGGCGATGTAGCATGCATAGTCGAGCTGCTGGTTGCCGTAATCGCTGAAGCAAATTACACACGAGTCCATGCCATTATCATTATATCAATTTTGAAAAGCAAAAAAATGGTTACTTTTCTCAGGAATTAAATTTTTTTAAAGTTTGTTTTACAATTTATTGTAATTAAACATAAAGTTAATAAGAATATTTTATAACCAATTGCATTATTTGTATACAGAAACAACATCTTACCGAACACTTTTGTACTCATTTTAATTACGTTTCAATCATTTTATGCATTAATAATTATAATTTAAAAAATAATTAATATTAACATATATAAAATAATTATTAATAATAGGGCTGAAAAAATTAATTATTAAATTATTCAAATATGATTACTTAACTTTATCAATATAAAATTCAGAAATTTTATAATCAAATTGATACATCACTTCATTTTTAATATTTATTATAATATACAGTTTAATGATATATAATCAAAATCTACTTATATTATACGTATATATTTATTAAAAATTTATCAAAATTTAAACTGCTAACAAACTTTCATACTTTATTCATCAGATATATTGATTTCTTATTAGTATAACATATTTATTATATATTATATAATATATTTATTATATATTAACGATATCTATTAAAATGACAATTTTCTGCTATGCATCGTTAATATAAATATTCTCATCACCTTCATATAAATTGTATACTAATTCAAAATAAATAATAAATGGAAGAAAAGATTATTATTAATATATATTTTTTATATTTAGATATTTATATATAAGATTGAAAAACTGAATTTTACTTTTGCAATTCTATTTACATTGTTTATTTTAGCTTTTTTTTAGAACGAAAGTAATTTTTTATAATCAGTTAAAAAATATTATGTAATAATATATGAATATGCATGCATAATTAAATATTTAAAATAATATTCAAATAATAGATTCTTAATATTGAAATTTTATTTTTGTACCAATTGAAACTAGCGAGTGTGCTTATAAATATAATTTCATTTGATTATCTATAATCCATAATAAAAGGATAAAAAAATTGTAATTTTTAATGAAATGAAAATGATTATTATAGATGATATAACTTATTAAAAGTAACTTTTTTATTTTTATTATTTAAAAATAATTTTGATAAATCATTGGATTACTTACCTGTAGAATCGAAATCTCCTTCAAGTGGTCTCAGTGGTCTTGAAATACTTTTTCTCTTTGACGGAGAGTGCTTTAATGCTGTAACGAAAAATTAACGACATTATATTTTTATATTTATATTTTCTAATTTTATAATAACTTATTTAGTAAAATTCTTTAATTGTAAGGTACAGTAATAGTATTTACATTTAATTTATAACCAATTGCATTATTTTTATATAGAAAAAACATCTTACCGAACACTTGTGTACTCATTTTAATTACGTTTCAATCATTTTATCATTCTAAAAATATTTTAGAATAATTTTTCTTTTCCAGTAAAAGTAAAATAAAAGTAAATCTATTAATATCATTTATCAATTTCTTGATTATAATTCTATTTTAAAGTATATAACTACTATTATAATATTTATGACAGATTTTGTACAGAATATAATTAAATAAATTTTAATTAAGTTTTTCTTATTTTCTCTATAAAGATATTTTTGATATAATAACCAATATAAATAAGTAGAATTCGAAAATTATATTAAAAAATACTATCGTATATATATTACACACATATATTACATACAAACTTCATATATATATACTTTATATTTTAAATACCGTTAAAAATATATATTATTAAAGATTGTCAGAAATATATATTTTATTTTACAATATACAGTATCAATGAATAGAAAAAATTATTACATTAATAAGCTTTATTTCTATAGATTCAATAATTATTTTTCTTAAAAACTTAATACACTACAAAGACAAATTTATATTTGTAGATAACAAAATTAATATTTATTTAAGATGCATAGATGATAAAAATAACATACATTGAATAACTAGTTATTCATGAATGAATCACTAATTCAATTATCTTTTAGGATTAACAGAAGATTACAAGAATGGCGTATGTATTAACATTTATAAATTAATTTAATTATTAATGAAAATTTTGTTAATTAAATTATTAATGAAAACAATGAAAACATTTAATAATTAATTAAAATACTACAAAGTTGAATTTAGAGTATTTAAAGTAAATAATTAAAATTATAGAAACATAATTATAAATTATTTTCAATCGTTAAAACAATATGTGTTTTTTTACAATCGTGTTTTATTTGTATAAAAAATAGTAATATAAAAACTAATATAAAAAAAATCAAATTTTATGGTAATAAATAAATATGATAGTTTCTTACCTGCATAACTTTTTATATAACCAATATCATTTTCATACATTAATTTTTTAAACTTATTTATCATGTGTGTGGTACCATATACATTCATTACACAAATATATTTAATTTCTGAGTATGAATTTAATTGAATCTATAAATGAATAAAACGAATAATAAATAAATGTGTAAATCATTAGTTAATGTGTTAATATGCTCACGCTTACATCATAACAATTAAAGATAACATTTTAATGAATAATGAAATTCATTAATTATGAAATTGTGAACTTTATTTAACAATTCATATACCATTAGAATTTATAATTCACGTTTATTAAACTAATAACAAGAAAAATGTAAATTATTTTTTAAATAATATAACAAATGATTACACTTATATTAAAAATTTTTGTTAAAAATTCAAGGACTAACTGTTACATATATATAAAATATATGAACATATGGTTTTACATACATATAAACTAAATAAAAAATATTATCTTTGTTACATTTATTTCTAATATAAACAAATTATACATTATTTGTAAACAACTTGACGAAGTAGTAATATTGAATATATGTTTTATTTATAATTTTAATTATTTTCATTATTATTTTGTAATTCTATTTTATAATATTAATAAATTTTTGAATTTTATGAATAATTATTTTCATCATTTTTATGAAATAGCATAAGGTAGATAAGTTTTTGTTCTGACACTATATTATTAAATAACAAATTGGAATAAATAATTGTCGGTGATACTTGCATCTATTAGACGAGAAAAAAAATAGATACAAATTAAATAGATCACGTACTGTATATTAAACTTGATTATCAAAACAGAATCGTTTTGCTAATGAAGTACGTCGATGAATTAAATATATTACTTTAAATAACATTGTTTTCAAAAATTATTTGTCAAATTAATTATAATAATTATAATTAAATTATGTTAAAACAGAACATAATTTATATCTGAATGGTATACTTTCTATAGGCGTTTACTTTATATGCTACGAAATAAAAATGTGCTAAAAAATGCTATCTCCATAAGATATAATGATACATATATTGGGAAAAATATTTTAAAAAATAACCAAGATAGAAAATTTTTATATAAATATGAAAATCAATAAGCTAATTAGATAGACAGAGAAGTTACCTATATAGCTGGTGACGAGGTTACGAAATTTTCGATGATTCCCTTTAATCTCGGGCAGGTCCACTTTATATGCACCACCATAACAATACGTGAGAAGTAGTTTTATCGCAAATTTTGTGATCGGTGATTTTGGCACATCAGGTTCAAGAAGTCGAACACAAAAGAGAAGTGCACAGACACAAAAAAACATCACCTTTAGCTAACTTAACACTCAGCATTGATATAAATCAAAACACGATGAAATATATTTAATATATATTATATTATATATATAACTGTAACACATACAAAATATAACTAATAATATGATTAATGATGTAATGTTTTGTACTATATAATCAGACGTGTCTGTAGTTAAATTCTCAATAAATCATCTCTAGGTGCAGTATATATTTATAAATAAAATTAATAAATCGTTTTAATGATAATTTATATTACATCATTAACTATAGACAATTTTATTAATTACTTCAAAATTACTTCAAATACATTAGACATTAACAATCATATTCAATTAAAATACATCAGCATATATGTATTATAAAATATCAAAATTAATTTAAATTGTAAAAAATGTTATAATTTGATACTTAAAACATTATGAAAACTTAATTATAAATATATATATATATATATAATATTTCATTATACTCCATTTCAATTTAAGCATAATAAACATTTTCATAATGAAGATAGATTTAGTTGTAAAATGAATAGTAACTTTGTAACATAGCTTTATAAAACAACTATTTATTGAACAAATATGAATATATTAATTTATGTTCGTATTTGGTAATAGATGACAATAAATTTAATATCAGTAAAAAAAGAATCTTTTTTCAAGACATACAACTTTTTTTTTAATTGAATGATATTTATATAGTTTATCTTTACTCAAATTTGAGGAAAATAGATTGGAATAGAATCATAGAAAAATTTATTACTACTTTACATTTATGAATAATATAAACTTTTCAATAATTTAAATATGTATATTTCTATGTATATAAATAATAATAGACATTTGATATTATAGTTGATTATTTTTAAAAATATGCAAGATTTTATCTTTTATATATTTTTCCTTCATCAAGAAATAAAGTAGAAAACAGGAATTATGTCCATTGTTAACATTTTCAAATAATTTATTCTTCAGTTTCTATTTTTATTTCATTAAATTTTATTTCATTAAAACATATATTATCTTATAAATCGCTATAAAATATAAGAATCTTTGATTCAAAATTTCTGATTTGTCATTTAATTTATTTAATAAATTGAATATTATATATACAATATTTTTATTATTATTAACATTTTCCTATAAAATATTATCATGCATTTCTAATATTTTTTACTTTATATAATCAATATTGATTTTATAAATATTAATAACAACAATGAAATGATTAAAAGAATTTGATAGAATTTTCTAAATCCATTAGCTATTTTATTTTTAGACATAACTCATATTTCATTTATATAATTTTATATTTATTTATTTTATATAATTTAGTTATATTAAAAAAATTAATATAATATAAATGATATATATTATATTATATAAAATTATTAATAGATACATTAATTATATAAATATATTTGTTTGATTTGGAATTAAATTAGAAATTGAAATTAATAAAATATTTTTTTCTTTGTTAGAGTAAGAAAGATTTTTGAAAACATTTTAAGAATGATTTAAATAAAATTGTTTTTATTATAAAGATAATTCTAATACAATATTTTCGAGTTTTAACCATGACAAGTCATTCATTGTTCCAGAGAAAAAAACAGTTACAGCAGTTTATGCATAAATAAATTTATACAACTGACTAAATTCTTTCATATTTAATATGCTTTTTATTAATGTATAATAATAAATTACTTTAATAACAACTGAAAAGTTTTTCATTTATTTGAATTTATTATTTAATCACAAACTATAATACTTGTATGTATAGAATATTCTTATAAAATAATGTTAAAATTTAATTGACTTTCATATTAGAGAATCTATAATCTTCCTGTAAATATTTATTTAATCTTTATTATTCCAAATATTCATCTATTTCTATAAATATCCGTGTTTTTATTTTTATTAAAATCTTCGTAAATTTTTATTTTATAATTGTATATCATATACAAAAATTAATTAAAATAAAAATATTTTTTATATAAATTAATCAAATCAAATATTTTAATTGGAATTAAAAATAAGTGTTTAGAAAATAACTAATTACAAACAACTTCTCAAATTGAGAGATTGGTGTTTAATAATTTAAAAAAAATTCATCTATGCTAATAACGGAATGTTAGTAAAATCAATCATTAAACATTGTAAAATAAAAGAATTATATGGCTATATGCAAAGTATATTATGCAACTTTCCATATCATTATTTTTAATTAAACACATGCAAAGAAATATCAAAGCAATCACAATAACAAATATGCATATTAAGCAATGTTTATGAAATATTTGGTAACATTTTATTTAAACTATTTTATAGTTTATTCGATTATATTCTAAAAAAATTTTTATTTTAGAATATATTGTACATAAAATATAGAGTACAGAAAATTAAACATTTGACTGGAATAATCATTTTTAAGAAATAAGATATTAATGTCTATTTATTAAAAAAATACTTCTATTGTACATATTACTGTATGTAATAATTAATTTAATTGAAATTGTGTATTATCTAATATGCATGAAACACGAGAAAGTATCTTTTATACATTGTATTACATAACACGTTATTGAGATTTGATTATGATTTATCTGTACCTTATTAATAATCAATTAATTTGATCATGTTATAATGTACATTTTCTTCTGTTATTCTATTGCAAAAGTAACAATATTTACTTTAACTGATTGAAAATACTATAAGAAAGTATAGAACACTTGTTTTCTATTCAAAAGAATTTTTATGAATAGGTTTTGTTGGGTACTAGTATTGTAGTTAAATATGATATTAATGTCTGAATTGAATAATACTTACGCGAAGGTATTTTTTTGAAAACCGTTTTTGCCATAAAACTCTGAAATCGTTCAGCGTAGAAACCAGGTCGATGTACTGAGACTGTATCCTACAATAAATTCCAATTATTTCAATTTTTATATTGTTTTTTAATAAAATCAATCCATATTTTTTTTACTATTCATAATATTACTATAAGTCATAAATCAATAACGTATATACTTACTCCATCATGAATCATAGATTTCCATGTATGTTCTAATTTTTTTTTTAATCTATAACTCTGAAGAATGTCAATGATACCAATGAAAAGAAGAAGACGTTCACCTCGTGCGTTCCGTGCTGGAATGCCACCCGAACTAAGAATGAAAATTTAGGAAAATTCTTTTTATATAATTATTTGGTTATAAATTTAATACATTCACTAAGCGTGTTTTTAAGTAATTTATTTAACAATAGAGTAATTAGATAATACTTATATTTAAAAAAATAAAAATAAATACTTACGGTACATCGTCTTCCTCATCTATTGGTTCACTCTCAGCTTGAATACTCTCCATAGCTGTACTGTGAGCAACCAGCCTTTGTCGATTTATACTACGAGATCTGTTAAGAGCTGTAGCTCCTATTCTATCATCTCTTTCTCTATCTTTATCGGCTTGTATAAATCCACTACCATCAGTACCAGGTTCTCTGATTTCTTCTTCTTCATTTGTTGACAGTCTCTGTTCCTGTTAATGTACATAAAACCCATGTTATGTATTAACCTGACTATTATAAAAGATAAGAAATTATATATGCATACAGTTTTTTCTCTGGCAGCTTGATCAAGATTATGTATTCCAAGTAATAATGAATAATCCATAATTTTAAAACTCTCTAAAACTCTGCAGTCACGTTGAATTGTTTTAATTAAAGCACTAAATGTATCTGATTCTAGAAAAATACCCTCTGTATGGTGATCCATAAAATCCAAATCCTTATATGTTGGTGAATGTTTTGATCTTTCTGACTTAGATGCCTAAACAGAATAATAAAAAATTAACAATGATCTTAATTTCAACTAATAATATTTAGGAGAATCAAAGAAAAAACATACTTTTCTTTTACATGTTGATCCTTTTAAATCATATTTTTGATGAAGTTTAACTGTTGATGGCAAAAGATTATTCATAGCAACAAGCCGAACATTTTTACTGTTGCATCGATAACAATATAAACCAAAAAATTTTGGTAGTAATGTTCTAGGATTTTGATTTAAATTCTAAAAATAAAGATTAAGTTATTTTAAAAAATATTAATAAATACTTAGTTTAAAAAAGTAGTTAATTACCATGTAGTAGCCAGGCAATAATGTTTGTAAAAATTCACCTTCTTTATGTTGAACAGTTTTAATAATGAACTCATCATCTTCTGTTAAATAAAAAATACTTCCACTGGCACCAGGATTTGATAATTCACGAAGTGGTGCACTGCACATTGACATCTACAATATATATATATAAATATATATATATATATATACAAAACTATTAAGTTCAATTTAGAAACTTATATAATTTGTATAATCAGTATAAGACTAACCAGAAAATCATCTGGTTGAATACCAAATAAATCTCTAAAGTAACGAAATGCAATGGGTGCATAGTTTTTGAATTTGAATTCAGAAAAATGATGAGCAGGGGTGTGATTTGAACCTTCACTTGGAAAATTTGTGGTTTCCACAGTCATAAAATCCTGCATAAGTAAATCACGTTCTGGTTTACTTGCAAGGCCTCCAATTGCATGTTGTATACCCAATTGAATCGATCCCATAATTTGTGTTGTTTGAATCTTTACATAATTTATATATAAAATTTGTATAGAATCATCTTTATATAAAAAAAATGGTTTTTCTTAATTTTTTAGCGTAATGTTTAAAATTAATATAAGAAAAATATAAAAAATGTGTATCTTGTTTTATGTGTATCTTGTATATGTATTTTATTGTACATGTGTTTATTTTAAAAATTATATAAATCTAAAATAGTTACTTTAATTATAGAACTTTTGGTTATAATCTATTTGCATAATTTCAAACATATACACACAAATCAGAGAAAACTTTTTATTAGATTTTACTAAATCTTAAACTAACTAATAATTAGTACCAAATCAAATTTGTCACACTTCTTATAATAAAGTAGACATCAAAATAAACAAAAAATATTTATTTGGTAATAGATTAATTAATAATTAGTATGAAGTAACAAACATAAAATTATAAAATAAAATTATATTTACCTTTTTATAAGTAATTTCACCACCCACTCCAACTCTTCGATGTCCAATCTTTTTTTCTTTCTCAGATTTGTATTTTGATACACCTGTCGATGTTTTAGGACCAGTACCATGTTGAGTTGTTGAACTCTATAATGCAGCATAAAAGAATTGTAATCATAGGATAAAATAAAATTATTATGATCGTCCTATTAATCTAAAAATAGCCATTGTATAAAAAGCATAGAAATTAAAGAAATAGAACTATTAATCACTTTAAAAGAGTAATATATTTAATACTTTATATTCGAGTTAAATTTTCCAAATATACAGCCTTTTATTTTAATTATAATTTGTTACAAAAATATAGATTTCTAATGAACTTTCAAAATTGATATTATTAAAATGTTATAATAAAATTTAATTAACAATATATCAAAATTAGAAAATAATTTTATAGACACAGGCAAAAAATTGTATTAATACTTTAATTAAACAAATTAAAAAATATAATTTACTCTAAAAATATATTACAATTTATCAGTTATCTATAATAATTATTAACTCTACCTACAAAAAGAAAAGTAAAAATTGAATTATTTAATTATGAAAATAAATATGCTTAAATAATATTTTATATCTTTGTTAATAATATAAGCAACTTAATAATTGTTAATAATTTAAAAATAATTTAAAAGTCATTAATATATAATATATTAATAAAAACATAAATTTAATAGCAAAATTTTTAATTACATTAATTATTTAATCTATTGATAATATTTCAAACAAACTAAAAAATATTTTATTAAAACTATTTTTATTTATAATTACTTATTTAACTAGACTATGTAATAAACATCAATTAAATAAATTGAATTAAATAAATAAAAAAAAAGATAAGTTAAATATGACAATGGCTTAAAAATATGCTAATGGCGTTCATTTAAAGATTTCTGAATTTGAATGGTTTTAAGCAATTTTTTTTTTTAAGAATAAACTGTCAGTCATACATTTTTAACACTATATTATTCTTGAAATAATGTAATAAATATAAAATATACAGATTTCTATGCTGAATCAATAATTATTGTATAACAAAATAATAAGATTTTTATCTTAAATTAATTAAAAAACTTTTATTTTTTATTAATAACAATACAATAATATTTTAATATAATATTATGGTAATAAATTTTAATAAAACAATAATACACAATATACTATGTGTTTAAATCAATATATAAAATTAGATATTTTACTATTAATGCAATTAGCATGATTCTTTAGATTTAAAAAATTATGTATTACTTGATACAGAATTGTATCGATATTACTATATACAATTATGACTCACTTTATAAAAATATTTATTAATATATATAATAGAAAGATAAAGTATACTTACATCATAAATATTAAATTTTTCTTCATTTGTTGATTTATCTGAAATTTCAAAAAACATAATTAAATAAATACAAAGTTATATTTATGAACTTGTATTTAGTATTTGCATATTTATCTGTGAATCAATTTAATAAAAATATATTTTGTTTCTCTCAAATCACTTTTTCTCTCTGTCACTGTCCCCGTTAATTTTTATAATTATAACATATGTCTTATGTACATTGTTTACATTGAATTTCTTAAAAATACATTCAATATATTTTAACGCAATTAAGTTTAATAAAATATTATTGTATATGGTATACATTTTTTACATATAGAAAAGATCAAGTGTAGGCTATTTTTTACATAGGTTATGTATGAAAAATATGATTTAATAACAAGCTTAATAAATAAAGAACGAAACTCTTATTGAAGAAGCTTGTACTTGAACATATAAAAAGAACGAATAATTAACTCACTATCTTCATCAGCTGAATTGTCAATCCCATGATCACCGACAGAGTTAGCCAGGCCGGCAATACTTGTCTCGACTACCTCGATCACGTCCACGTTGTCCCCTGAAGCCATTTTGTATGCACAAGAGAAGCTCTGAATGTTTAATCTTTACATACACTATATTTTTAACCAATGAAAACTTTTTTTTCTGTCTCTTCAGACCCGTAAGTCAAACTTATATGCACGAGCCTAGATGAGTTCACAGTTTATTTATTTTAAATTACACTTCCTCTTTTTTTATACGTGAAAATTTAATTTCAGGTCATCCTTTGCATCATAATTCTGTACCTAGGAAACTTATTACTATATTTTTAATTATATTTACATATGCATAAGAATACTATTCGATTTCTTTTATTGACATTTAATAAAGAGAAAAGTTTTTAAACATAAAATTAATAATGTGAAATCTTTAAGACATCACATCTTTAGTTTATATAAATTTTGTTACAATGTTTTTATATCATACTATTATGCCCGAAATTCTAATTTCTATTCAATTTTACTCTTACCGTTTTTCTCTCGCCCTATCTTATTCAAAGCACAAAGATAATTTATACGATACATATTGAATCTTGTATATACTATTTGCAGGCTCATGAAAACTAGTAATAGATAGAAAAAATTTTCAAAAATTTATTTTTAAAGGGTTGTTGGCCTATTGAGTTCAAGTTACTATATGATTTTGATGCCAATTACACCAACTTTGTAACATTTTTTCTATCGAAATATTCGCATATCATAACAATAATTTAAAACAATACATAAAATTAAGAAAATATTTGATAATATTTATTTATTCTTTTATATTTTTACATAAGAATATTTTTATTGATATAAGAATAATTCTTATTTTCGAAATTAAATATCATATTTAGGATTTCTAATAATAGTATATTGAAAATCCTTCTAACTAATAATCAAATTATCAAATTTGTTAATGAATTCAATTGCATGCATTTTAATTTATCCAATTTATCTTAATTCGAATTTTAAAAATCATGATTTCGGGGCGATTAATTACATATTTTTAGTTACAACAATTAATCCAATCGTCAATTTAATTCATAAAACATTCATAAGTTTATATAATAATAAAAAAATTAATTCTGACAAAATTTCTAAAAGTAGAATAAAATGTTCGTATGCGTACATCAAAGCAAATTATAATAAATTGTAATGTAGTATGCATAATTTAATTTATAATGTTCATAGTCAAAGGCGAATATTTTATATAATACATTAAATAAATAGTAAATATTTGTATGTTTATTTAAAATTTTCAAATATATCAATAATAAATTTTTAAATTATCTTAATAATCATCGTTTATATAATATAAATATTCATTATAAAATATCAAGCACAAGATTTATGAATTGTATTTGTAATTATATATCTTAAATTATATTATTAACTGTATATATTCTTCATATATTATAAATTTCATTTTAAATTTTCATAATTTTTAATTAATGGAAATTAATATATTTGGCTTTAAAAAAAATAACTAAAATATTATGTGTATATACAGACTTTTTCCTTACGTTTGTAGGATCTATTAAATATAATTTTTGTAATTTCTGTATCTAGAAAATATAAAATATGATCAGATAAATGGTTGAATGGTTGTTTGAATTTCCAGCCACCCGGTGTGATCAGGAGACCAAGAAACCAAGACCAAGGATTAGTCCATACCACCGTTTTAATGATGAAAAAGGGGGGAGGGTGAGAGGTTAATGCATCAATTCAGTATAAGCACAATTGGTTTTCGTGAGTTTTATTTAAGGTCATGTTATAATTGATCAATGTTTCACCGTTAATTGTGAGGATTGTTGAGGTCGTCGTGATCCTGACAGTTAGCAGAGAAACTACAGAGCTTCGTCCGGGTGTGGAAGGTGAGACTAGTCTTATCTGCGGGCGTGTGAGAAGTCGTAGTGCCCTTGCAGTATGTCGGAAATTTCTCTCTCTCTCTCTCTCTCTCTCTCTGTAGGCGTGTTATTAGTATAGCAGCGCCGCTCCTCGGTAGATATGAGAATTAAGTTCGCTGGAGACTGGTGATCGATAGTGGAGCTCTTTGGCGATATATTTGGACCATTTTCGCAGTGTGTAGATAGTGAGCGATTGCGTCAGGTAGGTAAATAATACTTATCCATTCTAGAGGCGCATGGCAAATGGCGGCGCCCTCGTAGCGATCTGACGAGATTCTGAGAATTTTTCGAGTGTTTAGGTTTCGGGATTTCCCAAGCGTTAGAATTTCTGGGAATACCCCAAGTGTTAGACTTTCTGGAAACCTCCCTAATGTTCTGGTATCTGTGAAAACCTCCAAGTGTTTTTTGTGCAGTCTTTTTCTAGCAACACAATCGAATCCATTATTATGAGCAATAACTAGGCTATCGTGTGGATAAAGCAAGCACACTTCGAGAATGCGCTCTCTCTTATTGGGGACGCCATGGAAAGAATAGTCTCTCGTTTAATAAGGCCATCATAGAAGAAACACGCATCATTCTCCCGTGCATATTAATTAATCGGCAGTAAAAGATGCTGACACCATCTCCTTCATTTCAAGAAAATATTAGACTATAAGAAACATAGTATTGAAGTACTCCTTACCACAGAAGGTATACCAGAAGCCTCTCGTGATGGTGAACTATTCATCACAGGATCCGATTAATGTAACTAAATAGTTGTGATTGAACATAACATTGATACACTCTCCTAGAAGAAGTAAATCCAATTGATCAATAATGTAATTGTCAATAAACTCTAATAAACCATATTATACGAAGTATGCACACACTGTATATCTCTACAGCCCTTCCACTTAAATCCTTCCCAAGCATTCGCTAGGCAAATTAAAATGAACTATCGAACAAATGTACAAGTTAAAATAAAAAATTTAGTGTGTGTTCGGGATTGAAGCAGTTTAATTCGAATTTAAAATTGGGAAAGTTACAAGCTCTCGGACACTCTTGTTTGTAAACACGATTCAGCAAGTCCGGGAATTTTCCTACACCGTAATTTCTAATATACGACAATATTTTCGCATAGCAACGCCGATGAAACTTCTAGAACCTTCCAGGGCTGTGCCCTTCGACGCTTCTAGAATATTCTATACTTCCGAGAATACCTTATCCGCCCCTAGTAAATATGTTTGCACTCACTATGAATCTTATTAATCACCATTACCACTAACATTACCATATTCCCATGCTCATTGAAGGATGATCGATTAACTCATGCTGATCCCTAAAACATCAGCATAAAACCGACATTGAAGATCCACATAACTTCCAAAGAACACAAGAAAGCACCCGCACCACTGCAATAGAATAATTCTCTATCTCACTAGTAGCAACAAACAACGCTGCAATATTATAATTCATAACAAGAATAAACAATGGTGACACTTAAAATGCATTACATTATCTTTTTCAGCCCTTCCACTTATGCCTTCTTTCCTCCTAATCGCTATGGCGAGAGACTAATTCACTGAACTATTGAATTGGTAGTTTCAGTCATAAAACAAACACTTAAATTCTAACAGTGTGTATCTGATAAACATTAAATCTTGTATGTAAAAAAATTGATTTAATTTTTTTTTAAATTATAATTATTTACATAAAAATCAAACTAATTATAATATTTTATAATTAGATGTTAAGAAATTCTTTATAAACCTTCACAATTTATGTTTTTTTCCATGTGTCATTGAAATTGTCGCAGAATATAAAATAATACGCCATTCCATTAAAAAATCACTATTTGAAACCTATGTTAGAAACTTACATAAAAAAATCGTATTTTATATTTTTCATGTTCATTGAGATTTTATTTATATAAATAAAAATATTAGCTATATTTATATATATTCTTATAAAAATTCTTATGTATAGAATTGATAATTCTTATGTATGTAATTTATAACAATTACTTTTACCACTTATTGCAACATTACTACAAAAAGTCAGAAACAGAATATTGCAGTACTGATTTGAAAAATACAAATATATTTTGCTACACTTTCATTTTTATTTTTTACTCTTCAATTATTAAAACCATAATTATAGAAAATTATTTTTCTTTGTTCTTAAATTCAGATTGAATTTTAGATTTAGAAATTTTACAGAAAATTTTTGAATTTGAAAACATGGTGGGATTGTCGGCAATTGGAACACAACCGTTGATTCCTTATAAATATTCATTTGTCTGCTATTGGCAACTCCTTGAAATTGTTGCAGGCAATCGGGCGATGTTCTTTGTAACAGCGCACACTGGTTTGGTTAGATTGGTAGGTTTCCTTATTTTTCTTGTTCTCCTTGCGTTCATCCCTTATGGAGGAGTGGAACACCTTCACAGGTCGTTCCCCCTTTGGTTTTTGCTTGACTTGGAATTTTGATTTCAGCTCCTTGGGCTCATCAACATTTTCCAATGCTGTGACTTGTGCAGAGAACTTATACTTTTACTCATACTTTTCAGTTAATTTTCTCCAAGCTATACTGAGGGGAGTGTTCTACAGTGATAGTCTTAAGACGAGTCTCGATGCTGAACCTTCCAGTGTCGTATGTAGATAGTGGAGTTTTTGTAACTCATTTAATTTGCTGCTCTTAAGAATGATGGATTAAAACGGATCCTTGAACATGGGCCAAGCCATATGATCCTCGGAGAATTTGGGGATGGGGATGTCAGGAAGACAGTTCATTTCCCTTGCTTTTCCTTCTCTGGGTGATGTGTCCTCAGATTTATTTGTGGGTTTTGATGACTCGCCACGTTCACAACATAGCTTCCTTATTATGGTCTGTGTTGCTGTGTGGCACTGAATTTCTTCTCTTTGTGCATTCTTGATGAAATAATCGTGGTCCGCAAATGACGATGGCCAAGTTGTTTCAATATAGAGATGTTCTTTGTTGAACATTTTATGTAGTTCGTCAATAGACTCTTATATAGTTAGAATTTCATCAATGTCAGCATCTATATGAGAAGTAGGAAGACTTTTAGTCCATGTTTTAATTGTTGCAATCCGATAGAATTGTCCCGTTGCCTTGTTCACTGGATAGTTTTTCTCTGGTAATACTGCGTGTCGTTCTTGTTCCACTCGCATTTGAAGCAGGCATCTCATTGTTTTCCATTGATTGTTTTTTCTCTGGATTTGATATTTTCTTTTTTGTCAGTGGTTAGAGAAATTGATAAATTGGTACTTACAGTGTTTTGTAGATCAAGCGATTCATTATACTGTTACCTTATATCCCTTGGATAATAAGCAGTTATGGAATTATCTGAACTATTCTTGTTACAGCACTTTTTCTTGTGTATGAATGCTGGAACAATACACTAACTTCCAATAATTCGGCTCGAAGGACCAAAATGTTTAGAATTAACTAAGAAAAACCATTAGATGTTGTGTGGGAGAATGCGTGGGCAACTAGAAGGGTTAATGCACCGATTAAATAATTAATGCATATATTTCTTATTGCTGTTTATTCCATTTACTTTCCAATAAAGGGATTCTTATTCTTTGGAGAGGTTATAGATAAACCTTTATTATTCTCAATAAGGAATGTGGCCTAGAGGTGCACTTTCGTTGGAGAACCAGAAGGATGCAAGTCCCTGACCTTGAGACGTAATGTCCTTGATGGTAGGTTACCCTGACAAAAGGGAGAGGTTGTAAAGCTCTCGCCACTTTTTTAGTAGTGCCACTTGAGAAATTAAGACTGCTTCGTGCTCTACACTACAGTTTATAATCTACGAGTCGTGATCCTGGCACGTATCGCAGTTTCCTCTAAATAAGTGAGCCGTATGAATGAACACGAGCCTGAGATAGAGATTAGAAGAAATGATGCGCTACTGAATGGCGCGAATTACTGGTCATGCGAAGTGAGCATACGCGGGAAGCTCCTTGGGTACTAACCTTTTTATAATAAAGCTTACTTGGAAGTCGTAGTGTTACCTTCTCTGTTTCTATTCAGAAGCATGAACAGGAAGCTTCTATACACAAACTGCTTGCAATTCAATGGATTGAACTTTCTTTGTTTTTCTTCATAAGCATGACGGGAAACTCCTTTAGCACTAAATGCCTGGCGAGACCGAATATGACTGGGTTATGAAGCCCACAATAGAATACTACTATACAAGACTCAGCTGATTGACTCTTCTCTTGTCCTCCTTCATGAGAACTTCAAGGGGCGGGGCTGAGAATAAGTATTTGAATATTGTACTTGTCTTTCTTAAATAACTCACTGATCGAGGTTCCACTAAGGATCCCTTCCATTTTCTTGTGCCCAGTCAGAGCGCGACCTTTGAACAGCATGATTGACCATGCACGGCTCCATTTTCACTTCCTTCCGGGTTTAGGATTGAAAATGCTAATATCGGGAAACTGTCTAAAGGAGGGAGCGTCTACTATTGGTGGTCTCGCCCTTCTCTGGGACTTAACTATATGGGAGGTCTCCTGGGAGGAGATTGGATAGTGCGAGAGGCAACATTCAGCGTACTTGAGAACAATGTGCGCGTTGTCTTATGATATTGAATGCACACGTTTACCGATTTCTCGTTGTCGTACGTGCGGGATTTTGGATTGCAGTGAATTTTAGGAAATTTTTTTCTGGTCGATAGTTTACGTACATCTGGCACTCACAATTGTCCTAGCATAAACAGACTGGACGCGTTCGTGCAAATAAACAGCCATGTCATTAACGCGTCAAAAATGAGCGTATTGGCAATACGAAATAAATAGCATGACTAATTTACGAGTGTTTTCCAGATGTACTGACGTTTTCAAATCTTCGACGTCCATGGGAGTGTTTTCTTCAAGTTTTATGATCGTGTGTAATAAGTTTAATGACACTCTAGCTTGATGTGAAATGAGCAGGAACTTTTCAGAAGACTAATGACAATTTAATAATGTTGTTTTGCCACATTACATTGAAAAGGTCTCGCAATCTCTAACATTATTCTTCAGATCATTGTTATATGTTGCCTATTATTTGGGCAATTCGATTAGGTCTAAATTATATAAAGTATGTAATTATGAGTTACTGTATATTATATTAGTTCTATAAACTTTTCTTTTATTGAGAATGCTCATACAAAACCTTCTGTCACATCATATTTCTTTTTTTATATATTAAATTTTGTATATTAAAATAAAAAAAAATTTTTCTCTAATTTTGATCTTATTATTATTAATTAATTATGATATACATTTTATTTTATATTAGATTACATAATATTCTAAGCCTAATATATTAAAATCTACTCCATGCAATATTTTCATTAATTTAATAATTGATTTAATAATTAATAAATAATTACTTACATATTTTTATTTTTCGTAGATACATTTTTTAGCATGGTATAATTTTTCAATTTTAATAATATTATTTATTATTTAAAATTAAAATAATTTTAATTGCATTAATATATTTAAATAACTTCTCAAAATATAAAAAATGAAGATAAAATTTTAATCAAAATAATGTATATAATGCAATATTATGTATTAATTAATTAGTATATATATATATATATATATATATATATATATATATATATAATATATAAAATACTGTATATTCCATATTCATTTTCTAAAAATTCTTCTTTTTAGAATATTTAGTTTACTTTTAATTTTCTTTAGTAGATATCAGAAAATATTTTTTAAAGTGGACTTATTCAACACTATTCGAATGCTGACAATTTATATTCACACTCCGTTACAATCATTTGATGTAATCTACTGTTCATATAATAATATATTAATGTATGAAAAAAATTATTTCTACTAAAGTTTTAAAATTAAATTTTATATCGAGTAATAAATATTTAATATATCAAATTATTACATATACATGTATGCACATTAAAGTTTAGTTTATATTAATCTAGAATATTATGATTCAATTCTGTTTAATTATAAAGAAAAATATTAATCGCGTTTATAAATAAAATTTTTAAAAAATATAAACAAAATTTAATAAATTAATATATTAACGTCATAAATATATTTAAATTGGGTAATTTTAGTTTAAATAAAATAAAATATGTACACAAATATGAATATTAAAATATTAATGCAAATATTAACTGTAAATAATACTTTATTTTAAATTCGATTTTACCTACAATTCGAAAAATATATTAAAATTTAAAAGTGTACTTATTAATTTCATATAATAGTTTATATGCTTAAAATTAATTTCGAAAATTCTCCTTTTTATAAATTTTAAGTATAATATTTAATATTTCAATAACTGATGTATTTATTTTATTCATTTTTAGTATTTTTTAAATACCTTGATAAATTCATTTTGATATAATACACTTTATAAGAGACGTAAGTTTAAGGCAATGCTACAATACAGGAAATGCTGTATTCTACTTTTGTTAAATTAAGGACATATGTCTCTTGTAAAGTATGTTCGATAACGAATTTAAAGAAGAATGAAGTTATTCATCATATAAAAACTGCGTGGTTAAATTAATTGAATTATTTAATTAATAAGACATACCAAAAATGGTTATTTTTTATATTTAAATAATAAGATTAATTAAAAGTTTTGTAAATGTATTTTATATTTTTTCTAAATAGAGTGAAGGAGTAAGATATCGAAATCATTATGTTCAGAAATCATTAGAAGAATCATTTATTAAATCTAAAGCAATAAACAAAGCTAAGTGCATTCAACAAAATGCAACCCAACATTTTTCATTTGCTCTTATATTCCTATTATTATTATCTTTGATAGTTATAGTTTTAGAAAAAATTTTACCTGATCCCAAATTAATTAATTCTGAAAGACTTCATCCTGATAAATTTATTGCTGAAAGAGCAAGAGCTCACGTTCATAATTTAACCTCTATTGGTCCTCGTGTGGCTGGTAGCTATGAAAATGAAGTGCTGGCTATCAATTTTTTAACTAGTACAATAAATGATATAATAAAAAAAACAAATCAAAATCACAAAATTTTGATAGATATTACAAGACATAGTGGGAGTTTTGCTTTACCATTTCTTGATGGCATGACACATATCTATAAAAATGTACAAAATGTAATAGTTAAACTTGGACCACATCAACCTTCAAAGCATAGTCTTTTATTAAACTGTCATTTTGATAGTTTTGTTGAAAGCCCAGGTAAATTATGTAATTTATTTTGTTTTTGTCACTGATATACTAAAATAATAAAAGTATTATTTAATTAAAAGGTGGTTCAGATAATGCAGCAGGTTGCGCTGTGATGCTAGAAGTTCTTAGAGTAATTTCAGAAAGTACCAAATATTTAAAAAATAATATAATTTTTTTATTTAATGGTGCAGAAGAAAATATTTTACAGGTAATCTTACTTGAATTTAATTTAAATTTTAAAAACTCATATTATTTTTAAAATAATAAGATCGTTATTACAGGCTTCACATGGATTTATAACTCAACATCCTTGGGCCAAAGAAGTTAAAGCATTTATTAATTTAGAAGCTTGTGGTGCTGGTGGAAAAGAGCTTTTATTTCAAGCAGGCCCAGAAAATGCATGGATTCTTGAAGTATGTTTAATCAACTAGCACCATTTTTTAGATAATAACGCATTCTAAATTTTTTTTTAGATATATTCTCAATCTGTACCATATCCTTATGCTTCATCATTAGCACAAGAAATATTTGAGAGTGGTATTGTACCTGGAGATACAGATTTTCGAATTTTTCGAGATTTTGGAAAAATATCTGGTAAAATTTTTCAATTTTTAATCTTAAGCTAACTAAAATAAAATTTTTAATTTGTAATTGTTTAAAAAAAATTTAATAAAAACATAAAAGATAATTTTAATCAAATAAAATGCAAAGAATAAGTATAAGTATTGTCTTTTTGTGATACAATACCATATTCAAATCCTTTTACAAAACATCAAATAATACACAATAATACCTTTAACTTGTTATTAAATTTCTATAAATATTCAAAAAATATTTTGATACTTTATAATTATAATTTTTAATATTTTCAATTGAAAATATTAAATTAATTTTATTCAGTGATGTTATAAATCATTATAGATTTATTTGATTTATATATATGAATGAATTATACAATTTATTCTTATTTTTATAATAATTTAATTGTTCAAAAATAATTTTAATGTAATAATAATTATATTAAAATTAATTTATTTTGTTTTAATTGATTTTATCATTTGTAATAACTAGAAATTTTTTTGGAATTGTTTACCTTTCAATCATATATTTTTTATCTTGGTATTATTGTTAATGTTTATTATTTGTTGTAAAATAGTTGTAATTTATATTTATACAGTTTTTGTTAATCTCTGGTTGATATTTAGGATTAGATTTTGCTTGGTCAACAAATGGTTATGTTTATCACACAAAATTTGATTCCATTAATCAAATACCATTAGGGTCACTACAAAGAACTGGAGATAATATTTTGAGTCTTTCACTTGCTATATTATCTAGTCAGTATTTAACAGAGGAAACACAAATTTCAGAAGGATCACTTGTATTTTTTGACTTTCTCGGTCTGTTTGTTATACGATGGCCTGAGTATATAGCAAAAATTGTTAATGTGATTGGTATTGGAATTGGATTGTATTCTATTTATACAGATATGCATAGCACAAGAAAAGGCAAGTTATTAAATTATTATGTAATTAATGTAATTTATATTATTATTAGGGATTTAATTTTGTATCTTGTAGATGTAAAAAAATCAAGATATACTAAGGAATTGATAATATGCATTGTAATTATAATTTGTTCCTGGATCATATCAATGATTTTTATGACTATTATTGCTCTGATATTTACTAAACTTGGCAAAGTGATGAGTTGGTATGCTCGGCCAGCATGGCTATTTTTTCTATATGTTTGCCCAACTATTGCTATTTCAATGATTTTTTTCATTCTTATGGGTGCTCGACAAAAACAGGTCTGTGTATGTTGTAATATATCTATTTGATATACTTCATGTTACTTAAAATAAGAAGCAAAGAATATATTTTTTTTATTAAAAACCTATGATTATGTTTTTTAATCCAAAACAACAAAAATTAAATTTTTTTATGCTATTTGCATTTAAATTTATTCTAAAAAAGCAACAAAAAAAACATAAAGACGAAAATATTCAAATTTAATAACTAAATTTTTTAAGTTAAATTAATTATACATTTCTGTTCAAATTTGAAAAAGTAAAATGGGAAAAGTATTTTGGTAATAAATCTAACACAAAATTTTAAGAAAATATTTTCTACTGACTTGTTTCTATGGTAATTAATGTAATTATTTTGATTATATATCTAAATTTTTAATAACATTATTTAATATGAAAAAATTGTTTTGAAATATCTATGTAGTATGCTGATCTATTTATTTCAAAATAAAGTCTAGTAATAAAGTCTTCAAAATAAAATCTATATATTTCAAAATATTTCAAATCAAAATATTTTAAAGCATAATTTTCATTCTAAAAATTTTAACAATCTAATTATATTTATAAATATACATATATACATGACAAATAAAAGGAATAGGTTAATTTTTAAATTACTTTTAAAAAGTGGAAGGAATCAAAGAATTACACGAAGAGTCAAATGAAATTGAATTAAATTTAACAGAAAAATTTTAATATACATTTTAGTATACATTTAAATTAAAACCAGATATGAATTAATTTAAATCTTGCAATTCAAGTAATTATAAGCTATAGTATTATCATAAATGATAAAGTATAAACAAATCTATACTTATATTATATATATCTTCCTTGTTCAATTTTAACTGTTTTTTTTACTTTAATGTTTTATAGAATATCAGTTCTTGGATTTTATATCAGCTATATTTTGATGCTTATAGCATGTTATGGATATTAATTTTATTTTTGTGCATTTTACTGGATATTAAGTCTGGTTTTATACCATTACATTGGGTACTGTTTCTTTCGATTGGAAATATTATACGCCAAAATTTCTTCAATAAATGGAAAGGTAATATACTGTAAGGTTATTATAATATAAATAGCAAACTTTTATTAAACTTGCAGATTGGAAATGGTTGTGTTATCATATGGCTACTCTAAGTTTACCTTATGTACAATCATTTTATTTGTCTGTTGGTGCTCTTTATCTATTTATTCCCTTAATGGGTAGAGTTGGTGCCAGTATCAATTCCGAAGTTCTTATAGCTAATATATTATCAATTCTCTTCTGTCTTCTACTTAGTTTCACGGTAATACATTCATAGTTTGATATTATAATTTAAATTAATAATCATCAATAAAATCATACAATTTATATCTATATACTCAACATTTAAAAATTTTTTTTTTAATATTTTATTTTGTTTAATTATGAATTTATAATAAACTATTTGAAACTTAAAAGAAATTTATTGAAAATGAATTGATCAGAAAGTAATTTTATTAATATGTATAATACTATTTAAAACAATCTTTATGTACATTTTGGTTTGCTAAGACTTCTCAAAAAATAATTCTTTAGTTATAGTTTTTGATCATTTAACTATTATATGTCTATACAAAATATTTAAATGAATTTGTTTATTGATATTTTTTTTATGTCATTGAAAGTACAAATATCAGTGATTTTGTAAAAACCTGAATGAAAATATTTTACATACATATAAGACATTACAATTTGCTATTATAAATTGAAGAAAATTAAAGAAAGAATTATAATCATTCTGTTTGATTATCAAATAATTAAAAAATGGTTTAGTAAATTTTATTCTATTTATATTAACATTAATAAACCTGAAATTAAGTATGTTTTCGAACAAAGAAACTGATTGCATAGATTAAATTTGTTCAAAGATCACCATTTAGAAATGTACAATATCAGTAAATAAACACCTTGATGAATATAAAAATTGTATTTTGCACATGCAAATGAATATTAAAAACTTATAATTGAACTGTTTATGTACAAAGATACAAAAAAATGGAATAACAAAATTTTACGTTTTTTATAATAGTTTATGACATAACATTGGTAAATGTACAAAGTAAAATAATAATGTTTCTTATCTTTTTAATAAAATAATATTTTTAAAACAATTTATTAATTTTGCCAAAGATATAATAAATAATTTAATATTTTTTCTTTATGTTATTCTTTGAATTATAAATTCGTATGTATTTATAAATATTATAATCTCAATTATTTAAATGAAATAGTGCTTTATTAATTTAATTATTTAAGATTGTAACAAGTTAAAATGCTCTAATAATATAATATAACACACACGAGTATCAGAATACGTTGAAAAAAATATACCTAAAAAATATATTCATATGCATTATTAAATTTAATATTATCATTAGCAAAAAAAGATTAGTAGGATTAGAAAAACTTATTAAACAAAGTTTCGATCAAAAAGTAGATCGATCAAAAGTTCGATCAAAGCACATTAAATCATTCTTAAATAAAATTATATTAAGGGTTTCAGTCTATAAAAAATTAAGATACAATTAATATCCAAATAAATATAAGTGAAAGTAACCTCAAAATTAGATAGCTTTTTTAAAGTTTTGGCTTTTTTAAATGGTATGGTTTTATTTAATTGCCTAAAAGTATTCCTTTTTAGATATTCATGATCTCTATTTCTTATTTATAAATGAACAATTATTGTATTTTTATAAGGCTAAAAATTAAAATTAGTCTATATATAATTTAATTTGCTTGAAAAACACTATTAAAATCAATATACATTCTTAGAAGAAATTTTTCTAAAATTTTTTCTAATAAGTTGAATATATTACACATTATCATCAGTAATTCTTTATGAATATCATTATTAATAGTTTTAAAATCATCAAAAATAATAAATAGAAATTAAACATTGAGTTCCAACTTTATTAAATTATTCTAATAATATATATTACAATATTAAGTTTATAGATAAGATTATCTTAAAATTATGCAAGAAATATCTTTGGAAAATACTATTTCATTAGTTGTAATATGTAATAAAATTATTTAGAGAATCAATTGCTTATTCGCCGTCTTTAATGTCAGCATAATTGCAAGTTCAGTGCTATTTAAAAAAAAAAAAAAAAAAAATACAGTTTTATTTTGCACTGATACAATGTATACTTTTAAAACTATAAAAAATATTTATTATTGACATCATCAACTGTATGTTTCAATACTGTCAATAAACTTTGAATGACATCACAGTTCATTATTATATCTATATTTCATTAATGCATTTGATTCGTATTAATTATATTTTATTTATACATAGATCTATAACTTAATATTTTATATCCTTGTCGTATATTTATATTATACAAAAAGATTTTTTAAATTCAGTTTAAATATTAAAGATGTAATTAACACAATTCTAATTGTGTTGAAAGTGAAACTGAAGAAAACTATTTTTGAACGTGGCATATCATAATTAACAAAGTTGTCAGAAAAACAAAACAAAATAAATTAATAAATCAATATTTATTACTTTTTGCATTTTAATATCACAAAATATCATACTTGTTTACTTTTAAAATATATACATAAATGCATTTGAGTACGTTTAGTTTTGTTTTTAACTAAAATTATTCATATAAATAATTTTTTTTAATGTATATACTAATAAATATTTATACTGGAATACTTATACAAATTGTATGGCTTTGTGATACGTAATTGAATTTTTAGATGCCAATGGTTATACTTGTAAAAAATGGACAAAAAGTTATTAGTACATTAATTGGAGTATTCTTAATAGCAACTGGCATATTATTTTTTACACCTCTTGGATTTCCTTACACTGGAGATCCTATTTCTCCGGCTCCTGAAAGATTTATGATTGTGGTACTGTGTTTAAATAAAGTTTTTTTTAGATTTTATAAATGGTAAAAATATTAAAAATTATTAAAACTTTCAAATTTTAGCATACTCAAAGACAATATTATAATGCAGATGGTATTCTACGTTATTCAAGTTGTGGATATTGGATGGTTAATTTAGATATGAATAGTCCACATAGTATTAAGACAATAGTACCAGAAGTAGATGCTGCAATATCAACTATAGATGATTGTAAAAATGAACTATACTGTGGTTTACCATATTTAGTACCAGTAACTACTTTCCTGTGGTAATAAATATTTTTAATTTTTTTTAAATGTTAAAAATACTATTATATAAGAAATATAGTGTATAATAGTATAACATTGTATAAACCTTAGGAAAACCAATTGGATTTCAGGACCTCCACCACTAATTAGCATTCCAACAACTTTAGAGTTAATTGAAAAACTAATCAATGGAAATTCAATTTCTTTCTCCTTTAATATAACTGGTAAAATCAATGTATATAATGGATAATCCGTATATTGACTCTAAACAAATTCGTTTTTAATTATTTTAGGCCCTGATCATATTGGTATAATAATATCTCCTTACAAAGATATACAATTAACGAAATGGAGTATATTGAATGAAAAACCATTACAAGGACCAATATGGAATAAAAGAGAAACTTATTTTGTATACTATTCATGTGTAAAAGATTGTGAACCACTTAATTTCTCTGTGGAATTAAATGTATTTTATAAATTTTTATTATATAACTATAAGAATCTATTTATGTAAATTTATTAATTTTTCAGATACCAAAAAATTATAATGGTCAAAGTCTGTCAATTGCTTTAGCTGGACACTTTTTACATGGAGAGAACCAACATTCTTTAAAATTTAAAACTTTTCTATCACAATTCCCAACATGGTCTGTTATTACCTCTTGGACTGCATCTTATACATCATGGCAGTTTTGAATAGCTATTAAAATATTTTTAAAAGCTATGAAAAACATCAGAATGTATAATCATTTGACGACTGCATGATTGCAGTGAAATTGAATCATAACAAAAATTATAAGTAGTATATATGCAATTTTTATAATTAAAATATTAATATAATTAAAAATTAAATATTCTTTTAAATTACAATATAAAGATTTGAAATTTGAAATACTTATAAAATTAAAGTTTTAAAGTTCTTAAAACTCTTAAAATTTTAAATATTTTCTATTTATTTTTAATATTTAAATATTTAATACTATGACTATCTAACTTTCATTGCTTTAAAAACGAGAGTAAATTGGTTTGACTTAATATAAAACAAATTAAATTTTCTCAATTGTAAAATTTTATATTTTAGTTTCAGAGGAATAGATAAATAAAAGAATTTAATTCTATTTATAATATAATTATAAAATAGTATTGTAAGTGTATTTATGTAATTATTATTACACTAATCTTTATCACAAATAATAGTACCAAATAAAATAAATATACTGAGAGTATATAAATAAATATTTAACTATAATTCATAAAATTATATTTATATTTGAAGAAAATTAAATATATATAATATGTAGTAATCATTGTTTTAAATCGTAATAATATAAATAAAAACGAATAATGTATTTATGCTAATAAAATTAATTAATTTTATTATGTAAAACAAATTTTTTTACTAACAGTTTAAAATATTTAATTTATTTTATTTTTAATGGAATCAATTATTAATTCTATTAACATTTTTTATTCACTTTTTTAATTCACATAATTAAATTGAAATGTGTTTATGTTTTATGAATATATTTAATTTGATATTTTGTAGAATATTCTAAATTTGAATTTTAAAAAAAATCGTTAGTTGAACTATTATTTGTGTCCTTTTCTCTTTGAATAATTTGTATTGAATATGTGCTTCTAAATTAATATAGCCAATAAGTATATTTTACACTATCAAGTATTATATATATTTTATTTTATTATTCATTATATTATTATTTATGGATTGGCTTGAGATAGTTACTATAAACTCCATTTGTAAATATTTTTGCGTTTGTGAAAAAAGACGCATGATATTCAATTATCTTTTTAATCATTTAGGATCTATCATGTAACTTAAAAAAATGTGCTCATCGATTTTACACTGTCTGTAGAACTTATAACAATTCATTCTTATGTCAACACATTTCATACAGGTCATTTGTTGTCATTATGTTATTTCCGTTTCTTAGTTATTCAGCATTGCCTTCACTTTAAATAAATTAGTCACATTTTGATGTATGAAAGTACTAATTTTCGAATTTTCTATCACAGATTTCAGTCTTATAAATTATATATTCAAAAATAGAAAACATGGGAATATAATTTGTTTTCCCTCTTATTTCATATATATAAATTCTAATCTACAATTAAAAATTTAAATAGTTTATATTACTTAATATTATATATGTTTATCTGTTTTAAATTATTAAATGTTAACAGTGGTCTATTATTAAAATGAAAATAATTTATTTAAGTTTATTTTTACCTCATAATGAAAACTAATAAATTGTAATGCGTTAAAAAAAACAGAGTATAAACTATGCAATAAAAAATATTTTGTGTTTTGTATAAAATACAATCTAATACTGAATATTTCATATATAATAGTATGCACATATCATTTTTTATCCTTTATTTGTATTCCCTAAAATTATTATATGTGTTGGTGTAGGAATTAATTTTGTGTTTATATAAACTTACGTAAAACTAATATTTTATTTAACAATTATATACATTAGTATCTCTTGGTTTTTTTCATGAAATCCTGATATTATGGTAATAATATAATTAGAAATTTAAACCAAAATAAATGACAATTTGTTGGATAAATACTCGGAAAATAATAATTATAATTATTTAAATTTTTTATTAATCAAATTAAAAAATATATTAAAAAAAACATGAAAAACTGCATATTTTTATTAATAATTAATAATTTAATATCTACTACCTTAAGTGATACATAAATTTATTTTCAAATAATTTTTTAAAAGATTGGCTTCTATATTTTTTAGTATATATATTCTATTACTGCCTATTAAATAATTATTTTAAAGCCAATATATCTAGCAACAAATAAAATATTCTATTATTAATTCTCACTGTTAAATGCTATATATATATAATAGCTAGACATAATTGCAATAATTTCAGAGATAAAATTATTATTTTAGTATATAAATTGTGCACCAAGTATATATTTAAAATATAGATGAAAAACAACAATAATGAAGAATAGAACTTTTAATTTTTTCGAACTACCATATAAATAAATAAATTCATTCTTATTTAAATATTTTATTAGGAATAATTTTATACATATACTATTTATATGCAATAATCCTGCATCTTGGTAGTCATTGACAAAGCAAAATCAGAAACAAAGGGGAAGGTTGATTAAATATCCAAAGGTTAATATTTTTTAACAAATTAATTTTTCGTTAACTAAAGGATAATTTATTACATAAAATCCAAAATTTTTTGTATATTTTCAATTGAACAAAAACGGTAATATTTTATTTATTTATAACTTTTACTTATAAATTAGATGAAAGATTGTTTTAAAATAATAACATAATGTTGAGATTTCTAAAACAAAGATAATGCTGTTAAAAAATCTTAAGATTTTTTAGCTGTCTTAAATTCTATAATTGGTAAATTATAATTTATTTCTATTCAAATAGAATTAACATAATTAATAAAATAATTTGTCAATAAATTATAGATATAAGAATTTTTGTATATAATTTACAAATTGCTATATATATATATATACATAGGTATTCTTTTCAAAATGTAACATACTTGAAAGTAATAATATATCTTCAATTAATTCAAATATTTTCTGGAATATTTGATAAAAATAAGTAGCAGGCAGTAATATTTTTTTTTATAATTACAATAATAATATAATATATGTTAATATTATATGTGTAAGGGAGTTTTATAATTATTTTATCAATATAATTAAAACATTTCAAAACAAGTAACTGATAAATTATTGATTTTTCGAATGTGTGAGTACTATCGATAAACATTAATAACAAGATACATAAAGACATGACTCATAGTATAGTTTCATTCGTATCCATAGAAGCAACGTCAGTTGACAAAAATATATGTATTCTATTTTAATTCCAAGGTAACTTCCGTCCCAAACTATGGTTTTCATACGTGACTTCCGGCTGGTAATATTTAGCATCAGCGGATATTGCGGAGAACTATCGTAACGCATTTAACGAGACTCGCATTCCAATCATCAAAACTTGTGTATCATATATAGAATATACAGATCAAATCGAAATAATATATATCTTACCACTTTGTTCAGGCATCAGTTTAAATTTCTACGAATGAGGTTTATAATAAAAGTTATTGTATTTCTTAAATAATTACTTTTTGAATTATGATCATTCAAAAAAACTATTTATATAACCCTGCCCTTTCAGTTCACTACATATTTATATACATTAACTTTTCCAACAAGAAATTTTTATAAATATACAAAAGCACACTCAATTCATTTGTAATAACAATAATTGAATAATAATTTTACATTTAATAAAAATAGACCTACTTTAAAAGTTAAATTAATAGAATATATTAACTAAAAAAATAAAATCTGTTTTTCAACAGAAATTATTTAAATATATATTGTAATGTTTCAACTTTAAGTAGCAAAAATCAATTTTCTGAGTAGTAAGTCACATGCTTAATTAAATGAAAAAGTTTCTTATTTCAACATTCTTGAATATCATATTAATTGAGATTTTTATTTTCAAACGTAGATGGAATATAAATTCATTTTTTTATGTTTATAATTTTTTATTAATGAACAATGATCACGTCTTTTCAAAATATATGAAGTTTGCTATATAATCATTCATTGTTATATAGATTAAATTTTTAATAAAACATCTAAATGTTTTTGTATACTTAATATTCATTCGTAGACTTTTGAAAAATTGATGATTAACATTTTTAACATACCTACAGTAATTTAATTCTGATCTCTTTCCATCGCGTGCTTCGGGTTAAGCTAAATCATTGACAATTATCAAGTAATGTACTAATAAGCTTGAAAATATCTAAGAATAGCTTAAAGGTTATACTAATTATTAAGTTAGTGTTTTTACATTTTGAGGTTATAATCAAAGCTAGCCATAGTACCGTTAGTGTTAATATTATATGAGCGTCGTACAAAATCATACCAAACGTCGTTTGCTTAGTACTCATTCTATCATGCATGTAAAGAAATCTAAATAGTGAATCCGCGATTATCATTCTTCAATCCCCACTTCATTGCTATGACTACACACCTGTTATATCTTCACGATCCAAGTTGCTAACCCTGTTAGTTTTACGACGCGATTCGCTTTGAGTTGATCTCTCTTATTTGTATTATTTCTGTAAAATCACAATTCAATCAAGAACCATATAATATCAATATTGTTAATATTAATTTAAAAATTAATTTTAATTTTTTTTTTTTAAACAATTTTACGATTTCTTGCTAAGTTATGAGTTTTCAATTCTTAATTATAATACTGTGTTAACTTCAACAATTTTATTTTGAAATCACAGATCACAAATATCATTTTATGATTTTTATTCAAAATTTTTATTCGATTAATTTAAAGTATATGAACGTTGAAAATCTACTGATAATAAATATTTTTCAAATTGCTAAATATTTTTTACTGTAATTTTAAAGAATATTTTTTAAATTTTATAGTTTATTTAATATTATTCAATTTATTTGTATAATATTTAGTGATAATAATTAAATTTTTAAATTGTTATAGTTCAGTTTTTCGTGATTTGATCAGTATAACGTGTTTTTTTTTACAAATAAATATTTAATTTAAATAATGTCCATTTTCATGGGTTCAGTAATAAATTATATTTAAAAAATTAATTCTTTATGAATTAATGAAAAAAGAATTATTTCTTAGATTCATATAAATTTAGAAATATGTAGATATCCGTTACACAATCTGTCATAAATATAAGAAAAAATATTAACGTTTAAAATATTTATACTACT